AGCCAAAATGGCAGATCCAGCAAATAATGGCATTTCTGCCTTCTCAGGTGTTGGCTGTTGTCGACCAAGTTTATGGCCAGACGATTACCCCGACCCACGCACCTTCAAAGGCATAACTCTGGAAACTGCTGTAACGTTTCGTGGTCCGTGGACATGCATAGATTTCTGTATTTGCAATTATTTCCTTTAGCATAATTTTTCAAAAGAAATGCCGCACCTAATACTTAAGAATTGAAATTTAAATAAATACAGAATTTCTATTCAGCTTACAAGTAAATGGCGGTCGTAGTAATTAAAAATTGAAATAGCATGTACACGATAAGTAAATAACTTATTCATTGTGACCCATTTGCACAATTGGCTTTACTCGAACAGGACATTCGCTGTTTCCCAAGCAACGTTACGTATACGTCGCGGTAGTGGTGGCTACGAATAAGCTGCTAATTGGCGCTCTTTTTTTTGAGTCACCAATTATGTTGCCTGCTACTTTGCCGGACACAATCCAATTAGTCAGTTTTTTCTTTTCAACGATATATGAGGGGGGCTAGGGGTTGTGGGTCGTTCAACAACAAAGCTTTAGAGCTTATTATTTTTTCTGAGTCGTCCTCCAATGCAAGTCGTAAAAAGGCACATATTTTCGATGTTGTTGTTGTTGCCGCTTTTGTTGGTATGTCAGCAGTGCAATATAAGTAACCCGTACACAAAGTAACTTGCCAAGTGTCTTGCCTATGTGAAGGTGGGCGTGCATTTGTGTGTGTGTGTGTGTGAATGCTTGTTTTCAGGTCAATCAATAGCATTTCAATGGGCTTGTGATTATTATGCCAACCGTGAAACATTCGCGCCGCAGCGAGTTTGTGTCTGTGTGTGTGTGTGTGTGTGGGCGTATGTGTGTGTGTACAAAATGGCGGCACAGACGCTTGTTGTCGGCCATATTGCTTTGACCTGCCCGGACCTACGACAAGTTGAAAGCGCAACGCCTAGGTTAAGTCCTGCGCAGGCCCACATGCGCTTACCAATACACATAACAGTTCCCCACACATACAATCATACGCGTATGCAAGCCTGCATTTCTGTGTCTGTGTGTAGTCGTGAGTTCAACGCTCGCATTTATACAAGCGGCCAAAAGGCCAACAGTCAGCCCAAAAAAAAATGTGTGCGCTTATATTAAAACTGATTAAAAAGTTATATGCGGCAGAGAATGGCAGACACACACACACACACACACACAGAACATTCATAATTAGAAACAGAAAAGTATTGCATATTTTAGGGCGTCGTTGTGTAAGTGAAGGTCAAACAAGAAAGGAATGTTAGAGTGAAGCGGGCTTAACTCTTAAATACTCTTTACACATTTCTACCAGAGAAAACTCTATTAAAAATATTTTTTAATTAGTTTTTTTTAAATAGTTTATTTTAAAATAATTTTTCTTAAATATTTTTTAATATTTAAATATTTAACCTATAGGTAGAGACTTATGTTTAAGTAAGGTTTCAATAACATATAATTACATCGAAATTGTGTCTGTGGTGAGAGTGGTGAGAGTTCAGCCAAAGCAGCTAAAACAACAACAGCTGCAGGCAGAGCTTCGTCAGAGATTACATTTATGACTCTAACTTTCTTTACAATTGACGTATCAAGATGAAGACTAGTACTAACCAAATGTAATTGTCAAATTTGAATTAAAAATGACCAGTACTTAGGGGTTCCTGTGACCCATTGCAAGTTTGGTTATTCTGGCATTTGTAGGAGATGCAGGTACAGAAGTACATGGCTATATTGACTCGTTTTGTCTGATCATGAATATATATACATAAACTTAGAGGAGTCTGCCACGCCTTTTTGTGTGTGTTACATACATTCGCACTTAGCTAGTATGCCCTTTTACCCTTTAGGTACAGGTTATAAATGCATTGATTTGTATGCATACGTGCTTGTATCTGTGTATGTGCGTGTGTCCGTGTGTGTTTTGATGCCACCAATGTCATTCGAAATTAAATGCCAAAAACTGACAACGCAACGACATAGACACACAAATACAGGTACATGCAAACTAGTGGTGAGAAAAACTGTGAATGCGATTCTATATAAACTGTACGTGTTTTTAGAAAGTCGCTATAAAAACAAGTACAAAATTTCCTTGAAATTCCTGAAGAGGAGAAGAAAAAGATAAAAAGAATACTTAAAAATTAATTTCCTGATAATAAAGAGATCTTGATAGTTTTCTACATTCATTTAAATACAAATTTTATGTAATAGAATAAAAAGATATTTAATGATCAATATATATTTCTCCCACGTAACCAAATTGGTTATTAAATATTATTGTAATCTTACATGCTTTCTTTTTACTTCTTCCTTTATAAGCTCTCTGTATTTTGGTTCTGTGATATTTTTATGATAACAATTTTCACCTTTTCAATACTACTTCTGCATTTCTTCTATTAATAGCAAAAAATAAATATTAATTGTGGGTTGTTTTTTATCTATACATATTATTTTCTAATTAATTATATCTTACATCTAGAGTAATTTGACTTGATTAGTTTTTTCCGAAAATATTTTCATTATCTAATATATGAAAACGAAAGCACATAAAATTGGATGTCAATATCTGTTTTCCGCTACATGCTCTCCTTTTAGCTCGATACAGATTTTCCAATGACGTTCAATAGCTTTGATATTCTTTTTATATTGAGAAACATTGTTAACTTCTTATATGTTGTCATGTCTGTACTTCTGGGACTATCCCCGTATTTAGCTCTTATGAAAGACCTTAGGAGTTGCCATAAAAAATTGTTTCTGCTTAACCATTCAGTTTATTTAAATGATCGGCACTGAGCGATGATTATTTTGCAATCACTGTGATTGAATCACGTTTTAATGATTTTTTGCTCAACACTAACGTACGCAAGCGCGTCCTTCGCGCTTTTCTCACTTTCATCATCAGGTTTTTAATATATGCAAGAAACAAGCAACAATTGACCCAGATTTTTGTACTTTAGGCCCAACCGAACGACCACATATACAAATATCACGTATACGTAGTGTTTGCGTTGCCTTCATGAGTCTGCGGGCGTGCATGTTTATGCGTGTGTGTGTGTGTGTGTGTGTGTGTGTGTGTGTGTGCATGTGAATGTGTTTGTTTGCGCTTGAAAATTATAATTCAATTTGCGGCTGATGCTGGTTAGCATTTTCAGTAACCAGCTGCGATGGCTGTTACGGTTACGTTTACGGCTACTGTTACTGTTTTTGTTTCTGTAACGGCAACCGTAACTGCCAAGCAAAACAAACAACAGTTAATAGCAATTTGATTTAAGCGAGGGCGAGGACACAGCCGCACGCTCACCACTCAACTCGGCCGAACAAAATGGCGACCAGTTGCCAGAGTACAACCTTGAAACATTCGAATCGCATGGCGAACTGTCTCTCAAGGCCACACATCGATAGCCAGTTGACTGACTAGCATATGAATGGGCGGTGTTGATATCTTTTATGATATATTTTATTTTTAATAACCTGAAACAGTAAATATTTATAAGCAGCAGAAAAGTAAAGCAAGTCAACTAATCAATAACAAAGCAAGACATCATTTTACGATTTGGACCAGAAACGGCAGCATTAGTGCAACATTTTGAATTTGGAGCTAAGGAAGTTGTCTGTAATTAAAGGCTCAGATTTATGTATAATTTGAGAATTTGTCTCAGTGGTTCCTTTTAGAGGAAATGAAATAATCGCTTCTTTAGCAGAAAGTCCTTTAGTTCACCTTTGCGATTTTTCTTTCATTCTTTAACATGAAAGGCTTACAATCTCTTAGGAAATCTGGACAGTTATTTATTTAACGATTAAGCAACTCACTACATGCTTTTTCAAAAATTAGTTCCAGATAAAAATTTAAAATCTTATTGCTGCTGAGCTGAATGCAAAAGACTTCTTAAGAAATACAATTACTTGTTTTTGGCTCCCATTTTCTTGAAACACTGATATAGACCCAAAAGATTTATTCAAATTATAAATGTAAAATTGTAAACAAGACTTAACTCCTAGTTTAAGTTTTACTTATATTTAGCTATAGTATACTTATATTTAGTTTATAATTAAAGTCAAAAAAAAAAAAGAATGATAGACAGAGCAGTACCATAAGACCCTAAAGTCTAATTTTATGCAAATGGGAAAAAAGTTGTATCAAGAATTTTTAAAAATAATAAGAGATCAAAATTGTATCAAACAAATCAAATATGACATCAAAATGCCAAGAAAGTGCAGGAATTACTTAATTCTCGATTAGAGACCAAACTGATTTCTTTGAAAACCAATAAAGAATCTAATGCAATTGCAATTGACATTTTCTTATTGCTGTTGATGTTCCGCCAGCGTAAAATTAAATTAATCTTTTTATGGAACATAATATGAAAAGAAAAACCGTTGTATTAGGAATAAACTATTTTATAAAGCTGTTTCAAAACTAAATAATTCATTTCATTTAATTTAATCACAAAAATTAGCATCATAAATTGGTGTGTATCTATAATTAGTTAATAATAAAGAGTACAGTTTATAAAACCTTATCAACTTAAATATATATAAAGTGTGTTTTTACAGCTTATGAGTGAACGGACAGTTTCTAATATGTGAAAAATTGTGGGGGGAGGGGGGTGGGGTTAATTTAATTAAAAACCCATGAGTAGTTTACTTATAAGTACCTTAAAACTATACTAAAAACTAAATAATGATTTGAAATCCTAATTTGTTGAATGCTTCGCAGACGAAGGAAAAAAGCTGCACTTTGTCAGTCCGGCGCGACGAAAATCCGTGCTCGCGCCCATACTGAACAAAATCAAAAATGGCGCCGATGCCAGTGATAATGGCGACAAGAAATCTGGCACCGACAGCAGCGGGCACATAGCCGTACAAATAGAGCCAGCCAGGCGTGTAAAGGCAAGTCCCACTTAAAATCTGTGTAGTGTATATATTTGAAGATGTCTCAACCGATTTATAGCGGCACAGCATACACGGCATGATGGAGGAGGAGAACACCATACGGCCGCATCAGGAGATACGACAACTGACGCTGGAGGAGAAGAAATTTCTGCTGGCTGTGGAGCGTGGAGATATGGCGGGTACGCGTCGAATGCTACAAAAGGCCCAGGACACGGAATACATTAATGTGAATTGTGTGGATCCGTTGGGACGCACTGCCCTCTTGATGGCAATCGATAATGAGAATTTGGAAATGGTCGAGCTGCTCATCAACTATAATGTGGATACGAAAGATGCGCTGCTGCATTCCATATCGGAGGAGTTCGTCGAGGCGGTCGAAGTGCTGTTGGATCATGAAAATGTCACCTTTCAAAACGAGGGCAATCATGTGAGTGGACCCAAAATGTACTTAGTACTTAGTATATTTATTTTCACAATTAGAGCTGGGAGTCGGCCACAGAGGATACTTCGACCTTTACACCGGACATAACGCCATTGATCCTAGCCGCCCATCGGGACAACTATGAGATCATTAAGATATTGCTGGATCGTGGCGCTGTGCTCCCCATGCCCCACGATGTGCGCTGCGGCTGTGATGAGTGTGTTCAGAGCCGTCAGGAGGATTCCCTCAGACACTCACGTTCCCGCATTAATGCCTATCGTGCATTGGCTAGCCCCAGCCTGATAGCGCTTTCCTCCAAGGACCCCATTCTAACAGCATTCGAGTTATCCTGGGAGCTGCGACGTTTAAGTTTTCTGGAGCATGAATTTAAGGTAAGCAGAGGGGAACTCTTTAACTCAACAATTGGGGAAAAATGTGAGGAAGATTATGCCTAGCATTTCTTGAATCTAGTATGAATCGCAATTCAAGAGTGGCTTTCGATGTGAATTACGAGAATTGCGTTTTGAAAAGTAAAGAGGGAGGAAGAGTTTCGAGAACTAACGATGCCATTTCAATATTTTGAACTAATTAAGAGCATTTTTGGATAAAGAGTTATATCTAACTGTTCTTTATGATTGTACTATCGCTGCTTCAAAGTGGTTTCTTAGTTTTATCTTTAGAATCTGCGCTTTAAAAATTAAAGAGGTTCCTTCAATAGTTTCGAGAACCAACCGGGCCATTTTAATATTTTTAACTAATTGAGCGAATTTTAAAATTAAGAGTTATATCTATCTGTTCTTTATTTAACTTTTGAATTATTTTCAAAGTGGTTTCTTAGCTTTATCTTAAGAATCTGCAACGAAAGATGCGTTTTGAAAAATAAAGATATTCCTTCAATAGTTTCGCGAACCAACGGGGCCATTTAAATATTTTGAACAACTATAATTGAGAGAATTTTAAAATTAATTTAAAATTATTAAAATAAACTATTTACTGAGACTTTTTTGAGAGTACTATCGCTGCTTAGAACCCTTTTTATAACTTTTAAGTTATTTTCAAAGCAGTTTCTTAGCTTTATCTTTAGAATCTGCGATGAAAGATACGTTTTAAAAAGTAAAGAGGTTCCTTCAATAGTTTCGAAAACCATTCTAAACTAAGTACTATAATTGAGAGAAATTTCAAATTAACTTAAAATTAGTAAAATCAACTATTTACTGAAACTTTTTTTGAGATTTTTTGAATTTTTTTTAAATTAATTTCGAAGTGGTTTTATATCTTTATCCTTAGGATCTCTCTTTTAAATGAGTATTTAAATAATTTAATTGCTTTACAGAATGAGTACCAGGAGCTGCGCAAACAATGCCAGGACTTCGCCACTGCCTTGCTCGACCACACACGCACCTCACACGAGCTGGAGATATTGCTTAATCACGACCCCACCGGTCCGATCTATGAACATGGTGAACGCATGCATTTAAATCGCCTGAAATTGGCCATAAAATTAAGGCAAAAGAAGGTTTGGCATTTCAAAAAAAAAAAGTGGGCTTTTGTGCCTATATTTTAGAGCTTCCTTCTCTTCACTTTCTAACAGTTCGTGGCTCACTCCAATGTGCAGCAACTGCTTGCCAGCATTTGGTACGAGGGTCTGCCGGGTTTTCGACGCAAAAATATGGCCCTGCAAGCTCTGGACATCATACGCATTGGCATTTTATTTCCCATTTTTTCAATAGCCTACATATTGGCGCCTTACTCCAGCATTGGACAGACCATGCGCAAGCCTTTCATCAAGTTTATTTGCCACAGCGCCTCATACTTCACCTTTCTATGTGAGCTTGAAATGATCCTTTAATATAATGACATCTAATTTTCCGATTATCCCTAAAGTTCTGCTCATGTTGGCCTCCCAACGCATTGAGACGTTCATTGGGGGCTGGTTTATGGCCGCTGAACCGACTCCAACCACCTCCAAGTACTCACAAGTCGAGGAGGTGCCCACCAAGCGTGGCGCGAAGCCCACCTTCATCGAGTGGCTCATACTGGCTTGGGTAAGTGGTCTGATCTGGAGCGAGGTGAAGCAACTCTGGGATGTTGGACTGCAGGAGTATCTCAATGATATGTGGAATGTAATCGATTTTGTTACAAACTCCCTCTATGTGGCCACAGTGGCCTTGCGCGTGGTATCCTTTTTCCAGGCACGTAATCCCTAAAAATGCCAGTTATAGCTCTATAGCCATGCCCTTACTCTCTCTTCGCTGTAGGTTCAAAAAGAACTGGCGACCAATGCACATGCCTCGTCCCTGCCGCGTGAGCGTTGGGATACTTGGGACCCAATGCTCATCTCGGAGGGCCTATTTAGTGCGGCAAACATTTTCAGTAGCCTGAAGTTGGTTTACATATTCTCGGTGAATCCACATTTAGGACCACTGCAAGTGTCGCTGTCGCGCATGGTTATGGATATTATGAAATTTTTCTTTTTGTACGTATTAGTGCTGTTTGCCTTTGGCAGCGGTCTCAATCAGCTATTGTGGTAAGTGCTGCTACGAAGAAAAAAATCGCCCCACTTCCTGCACCTAAGCTCTGAAATACCTTAGGTACTATGCGGATCTGGAGAAGAAGCGCTGTCCCGAGGTTTCGCCCAATAGTGTCTTGCTCAACATGAATGGCACGAATGATCCAAATGCCTGCATAGTCTGGCGTCGCTTTTCCAAGTAATTGACTGATTATCTTAGATATCTACCTCTCAGATCTATATATATGATCGACTCTCATTGACAGTCTCTTCGAGACCACACAGACTCTGTTCTGGGCGGTGTTTGGTCTCATCGATTTGGACAGCTTCGAGCTGGATGGCATTAAGATATTTACACGCTTCTGGGGCATGCTGATGTTTGGCACCTATTCGGTCATTAATATTGTGGTGCTGCTCAATTTATTGATTGCCATGATGAATCACTCCTATCAGCTAATATCGGTAGGTTCGCTAGTTGAGGAAGTCCCAGCATTTATCTTAAGTACTTGTTTTTGTTTTTCCAACAGGAACGCGCGGATGTTGAGTGGAAATTTGCTCGTTCGAAGCTGTGGATCAGCTATTTCGAAGAGGGTGGCACTTGTCCGCCACCCTTTAACATTATTCCCACACCCAAGTCCATTTGGTATGCCTTCAAATGGATGCGCCGCGTATTTTGCAGCGGCTCCTCGGCCGCCAGACGCGAACATCTCAAAACCATACGCGTAAGTTCAACTCAAAAGCAGCTTCAATTACGTAATACAAATTCTATGTTCAGCGCAAGGCTCAACAGGCCAGCGATCGGGACTTCAAGTATCAGCAAATTATGCGCAACTTGGTGCGTCGTTATGTGACTGTTGAGCAACGCAAGGCGGAATCTCAGGGCGTTACCGAAGACGATGTGAATGAGATCAAACAGGATATATCGGCCTTCCGTTGTGAGCTCGTTGAGATCTTAAAGATCAGCGGCATGGACACGAATGTGACGGCCGGACAAGGTGGTGGTGAGTTACATAGATCCTCTTTAAATCAAAAAGTCCTTAAGTGTCCCAAACTCTGGTTCAGGTGGTGGTGGCAAAAAGAATCGCCAGAAGGAGCGACGTCTAATGAAAGGCTTCAATATTGCACCACCCGGTTCTACGGGCTCCTTAGCACCCGTTGCCGAGTTCTCTACATCGCTGGACAATTACGAGAACCAGCATGAGATACTCAGCTCGACCTTATCGACGCTTTTCACGCCCAACTTCATGCACAGGCGTCAACACGGCAATGGCAGCAATGGCGCCGAGTCCCCTACAACGCCCACAATGGGCACGACTGTGGTTCCCGGCGCTACAAAATACAATAAATCAGTTCTCAAGCCATATAATAAACGCATAGCGGGCCATAAAAAGCGCTGGGGTAAGTAAATCAAAATTTAAAAAAAAAATGAACTATGTGTTAAGGAGTTCCACTTTCTTAAAAACTGTCAAAGTTTTCAATACCTGGAGTATTCACAGCTGGTTGTCTGTTAAGAAAATTATATCCAAAGCACTTTCGGTTTTCGACTTTTATTTCAATGGTCAAGTTGATGAAATGATGAAATGATAGAAGCTGTGTCTTTTTGCTTCGCACACATACCCATATACATAAAGTATATATATTCTTAATCAGCGGGATGAATCGATCTAGACATGTCCATCCGTCCGTCCGTCCGTCTGTCTGGATGAACGCAAGTATCTCAGAAACTATAAAAGCTGGAATAACCAAAGTTGGTATTCCGATTCTCCTAGGTCCGAGAAAGGACGAGTTTATTTAGTTTTTTGGAATTTTTCCCCCCTTCCCCCGCTACAGAATTTTGTCAACACCGTCCACATTTCAAAAGATACATTAACCAAACTTTGCGCACATAATCTATATACAATTCTATAGTTTTATTTTTACATTTCATCCGAATCGGTCAATTCTAAGAAACTGGTTTTCTTTTAGCGAAAAAATTTCACTCCAGTACTCCGCCCACAAACTACAGCTTCAAGTTCGCTTTTATTCGTTTTGCTTCTGTTATGGGCTCATATAACTCAGTCCCGGAAATTTGTCTGGGTACAGGGTATTACACTGTCGGGCTTGCTCGACTGTGGCGTTCTCTCTTATTTTTATTGGAAATGAAAGAACATCCTTAACCCTTCAACCAGTTGCATCTTTAAGGCAATCCCTTAATTATTAACCCCCTTGATCTATCATCTCTGCAGGCACTCTGATTGAGGCCGCCAAAGTGGGCAACGTCAGCAAAATGTTGGGTCGCTCCAAGTCCGAAGATTCTGTCTGCAATTCCTCGCAAAATACAACGCCAGTGCATGGTCAGGTGCGTGTGACTTATGCCCAGAATTCTCCCCAGCATGGCTATCATAGCGAGTCGACAGCGACAATGACGCCACCCCTGAGCTCCAGCAGCGTGGGCAGCAACAGCACCAACAACCCCCATATGGGCGTGGGAGCGCACTTCTTTCACACCACCACTGGTAAGTATCGTCCTTTAACTACCATATATAGCTTTATGCCATAAAGCCATAAAGTTTATGGCCTTAAAGAATAATCTGTGTGAGCGGTGAGCAGCTTAAAAGCAAGTTAAAAATCATTCTTATTTAAAAACTAATTCGTTATTGTAGTCTGAGAGCATTTTGGAAGGCATATACGTGTATGTATAAATACATATACACCTAATTCTGTTTTTACACGGTAGATCGGTTGAAACAACCGTGTAAAAAAAGACATTGATCATATGTTATTTTGAATCGTGCTAAGTGGAATAAGTCGTTTTTGTATATGCATCGACAGCACTATTTGTTGATTTGCTAAATAAATAAATAAATACAATTTTTAATTTTCAAACAGTTTAAATCAAAACCGTGTAAAAACAGAATTAGGTGTAGACTGAATACAAATCTGTAGTACAGAAATTTACTCGTCCAATTGTTTTCGAAGAAATGGTTTGATTGAGTTTACATAAATTTTGAATTTTTGCAGAATTAAGAATATTTCAATATTATTCCGACAAATAAATCTTTACCTTAAATTGAAGCTTATCTTAAAATGTGTCAACTAATGATGTTAAAACTTCTACTACTCTAGTTAAGCTGTGATCCAGTTTTGCAGAATAAAAGATTATGTAGGTCTTCAAAATCTAGTAGCTTACTTAAAAAGTGTGTGTAGTTTTAAATATTAAATTTAAGCGCCTAAGATAAAAATTGTATATCAATTATACAATTGTAGAAATAGACGGCTGCTAAAATTTTAAATTGCTCATTATTGTGTTCATTTTTAATATATACATATGTATTTGAAGTCACGAATGTAAAAAAATTTTACTTTTTGAAACTCCTAGAATCAATATTAGAATTGCTAGCTTTAATACAAAATAGAACAAAAGTTATAGGCTGCTGTTTTGTCCGATTGTAATCTTAGCACTGTGTTTTAAGTGTTCTTATGGAAACAACATTAGGAAAAAGTAAATTCCCTTTAAATCAAGGAAACATAGCCGCAATTAACAACTTTTTTTTAAAATTACATTTCCACTTAATACGATTTTTATCGCTTTGATTTAATAAATCTTCTTAAGATAATAATACAAATAGCATTTAAATTAACAATTAAAGTACATATTATATGTTGGTTTAATCCACACCAAACTTCCCGCAGTATCTCCATTTTTAAGCTATCGGTTAAAATTACATATAGAATAGGTCTCTGGGTCTTGGTTTCCAAAGTAGGTAATGATTGCTAGCTAAACTGATCGGATCACTTTATCATATGGGTAGGCCTATATGGTGAACAATCTACAATTAGCTCCTTGTTTCTAAAGCTATACTTACACATAAAATATTTTTCAATCGTATGTAACATAATTGGAATTAGAAATAAATTAGACGCGATCTGACTTTTAAAATACATATCTAAAAGTGTTTCACTTTTGAATAATAGGTATTTTTTCCAGAATACCTATATTGCAAAGTTATCCGAATCGAATCCATTTAATACTCACTAAGTAGTTATGTAAATATATTTAACATCAACTAGCAATAATTTATTTTGGGAAAAGTATAAGACCTCTAAGGTTTGGAATGCCTTTTCTATTTACTGTCGTGAGGCTCCCAATGAATAATATAAACTAAAACCATTTATGAACAGTTATGATAACTTCCGATCTGGCTTTACTTTGTCTTCTCATAGGTCTGACCGCAATTGCCGCATTGAAGCGCAAACGCAAAAAGTTTTCATCGAGCAAAAATATTTGCCCTGTGACGGAATCAATAGCAGCTGCCAATGCCGCCGAGCTGTTGACTGACAAGGTACATCACTTCCTATATAATAATAGAGCAATGCTCATCAATCTTTCCGCAGACCCTCAAACGCGTCTCCAGCTATCCAGCGGCCACCGGGGAGGGCAGCGTGCTGCACAAAGATCCCGCACAGGCGGCCAAGCCACGGCGGCATGAGCAGACACAAAGTCAACACGATTCGGTGGAAACATCGGCAGAGTTTACATTATCCAGTGATACGCAACAGCTGGATCCATCCAATACGTCCGTCAATTCGAGGGAACCATTGATCAGCAACAGTTACGTATCGACCATGGGGGCCATTGGTTGAACGTCTGCGGCAACTGCCTATATACCTAAATAGAAATATATATACATACATACATATACTATATATGAAGAATGCTAATGCTGAATGCCAGTCGGTCTGGTCTGTCGTTGGACAACAAGAAGAAAGCACTTATACCAAAGATACTTATATACTTACATAGATAGCTAACTGAACAGCACACCTGATAAGTATACACATACATAATCGTACATTGTTGCTACTTTTATATATGTATGAGGGAGTTAAACTCTCATTTCAAGAACCCATACACGTCCTATAAACTCTGCCCACTTCACTGCACGGTACCTAAAGAGTCTATCCACAGTTTACACACTACTACTAACTACACTAATCTATACACTTAATCAGTCACAACTCTGGGGTAAGCTTCAAATGTACTCCCCAACTGCCACTTACAACTTCTATGGACCCCTACACATATCTAAAACTAAATACTTATATAAAAAATAAACTAACACTTTGGTCAGACAGGCCAATCATTCGCCAACAAACTTGTATTATTTTACAAGTGCGCCTTTTAAAATGAAATCTCTAACAGATTTATTTCGTGTCTTTGTTTTCGAGAAATTTCATGAATTTATATTCAAAAAATTTGCCTGTCTGACCATACTTAAGAGCAATGGTCAGATAAGCTAGCAGTTTGCACACAAATCTATAGAATTATTCATTTAATATTTCTTTTTATAGAGCTTTGTTATTGTTTTCATCTAAAAAAATATTAAAAATAAAGAAATTATTTGAATAGACCGGCAAATAGTTTGCTCTGTCTGATCCGCAAAATATTTGCACACAAATTTGTTGAATTTCACATGTCATGAATAGTATATTGGTTTTATTAACATCAGCAACAATTTCATTCTAGATTTCTTCTTCTTCAATATTGTGCTTTTCAAAGCTTACCTTTAAAAATGATTTGCAAGCAAATTATTTGCTTGTCTGACCGCAGTGTAACACACACACATACATACATTCACAATGTGAATTTCACATATCATTCAGCGCTTTATCTTGAATACAAAAATATATCACCGTAATATGCTCGAATTTTTGGATCAGTAGCCCAACTAAGTGTTTGTACTTAAAATAAAACTATCCCATATCGATGTTGAAAGTTGCCTTAGCATGGAACATATTTTTTGTATGCAACAATTATTAAATGATAACGAAGAAAACTACAGCTAGTCTATATGAATAATTAATAACAACAATATGTATACATAAGTTTTGGATGAACATTTAAATTATTACTGAACTTAGGGAAGCTGTGTATTGTTGATTTCTGAAATGGATTTAAAGCCACAAAGGATTTGTTTAAAGATATAAAAAAAAGCAAAGGAAAGCGAAGCGAGTAAAGCAACAACAATTTTATACACCGATTTTAACCAATATAACAACAAGAACAACAATAAAACTACTTGTGTGCGGCACTGAAAATTCAAAAAGGTTTTCTATAAGGGGCCCACACACCGATTTTAGCATGAGTATGAATTAGAGTATATAGAAAATAAATATGAACAAGGGTTTTAGATGATTTTTTGAGTTACAAAAACTTATATAGGGAGAAAAATCAGAGCATCAATGCATAATTGTTAAATGTGTAACTGTCGTTTAGTTTGTGTTCTAAACAATGTAGACCTTAATGTTAACACTAGCGAAACAATATAATAGTAATTAATCTTATGAATGATGAATGAATGCTACGAGTATATGCCCATGAGAAATGTTGAAAGCAAATAATAATAATATAGTTGTCCGCAGAAAATGAAATGTTACTTCCTTTGGAACGTTCCTACGAGTTGTCCGAGCTCAGCCACAGCTTCAATAAAACTAATCTTATCACACAAAATAATAAGTTGAAATGGAATTAATATTATAATAATAATAATACTAAAGAGAAGCCTTTTCTAAGCCAAAGCATGCACTTGCTTGTTACAACCACTATAGGTAAACTTACAGGCATACTTACATAAATAGAAATCTATATACATAAAAGTAAACCCTATACCGATTAAAGATATGTTTTATTTGTTAGTGTTTACCGGCAGGATACACCAAATAATTACAATAACAACAACTTAGCAAGTACTAACTAAATGGAAATTGTTATTTGCACAAAAAATAAACAATTACGTATAATAAAATAAATAGGTACAAAAACCCAATACAAATGCGCTATATTTTTCTAACATTCATAACCTTGAGAATTTGTTGATTCACGACAATAATCTATAAACTCATTAGATATTCACGTGCACATTAAAACTTTATTTTTTGAACACTATATTTTTGTTTTACTGGAAAAATCTTTTACAATAATTCTTTGTACAATTTTCGTTATAACACCTTCTAAGCGTGTTTTTTTTCTTTCTTAATGTTGTTTTTTTATATTTGTTGTTTGAATTGTTTAGAATAATAACTAGAAATGAAAAATTGATATTAGGTTCGCACTTTGTTTTAAAAATATTAGTTGGAGCCCCTAAAAAATGTATTTTTCTTTTGTATTTCATATAATGCGCTCAGACTAAACAGTCGCCACGACAACGTCTAATAGTTAGCCCTGGAGGATCGTGTTGACTTAATCCCGTACTGTCGTTCATCGCTTCGTGAACTGCCGCCACGTTCCCTCTCAAATTTCTCGTGCGAACGCTCGCGTGGCGATTTCTCCTGCAAACAATTTTAAAGATTTATGATATAGTATACTCATTTTTTAGGGCATCCTTCTTACTTACCCTGTGCCTCTCGCGCTCACGCAAATCCTCTTCACCATTTTGTGCTATAAAAAGATACATTTAATGTAATATCGAACTGATTTAAAAGTTCATTTTCAAGCGCACCTTCACGTCTGCGTTTGTGTTCGCCGCTATTTGACTCCTCATTTCGGTCTCGCTTGCGTCCCAATTTACGATCCTTGCGCGCATCTCGCTCTTCATCAGACAATTTGTCCTTGTTGCGCTCCTTTGTTTTGAGGCCCCGTGCTTTCTTTACGCTATCTACGAGTTCTTCGACCTTCTGTAATGGCATAAGATTAATAATGTTGGAAAAATGTGCTCGAAAAATGCAGTCGAATAGGTTGACTAGTGTATGGCTATAAACTCATATTCAAAACAAAAATAGGCTAATTAATGAGTCCCGCCCACAACTTCTTAAATAGGCATGGCCCTGCCGCCCTATATACGAGTAGAGTCCCGCCCAAACCTTCATCACTTACCAGCATTCTACGTACGAATCAACGAATTACAACTAAATTGCAGTCATAGTGGTAGTCGCACCAGAAGCTAGCAACGTCCAGCAAGAAGTATAGCGTGAAGGGTCCAAATACAAGTGTTCAAATTTATTGATTTCAGCCATTCTTTGGTGTGTAAAGCCCCCGGCTTTCATTGATGATTAATAGAGTGGTGTTAAGTGATGGAGGCAAGAGGTCTAAAGCACTGGATTTCAATAAACGACAACGTATCGCCATTGAAATGTTTTTAAAATGTTGTTGAAGGACCAATTGGGCGATTGAAGATTTGAAGACAGAGAAAGAGGACGGATGCTTGCTAATTTAACAGTTGTGTCCAAAGCCCAAACATCAATTTTGAAATGTTGATTACTCGCGCATTTTGATTGTTGAGAAGATTGTAGAAGAACGTCAGAATATTGGTTGGTGTTTAGCTTTAACTGTGGGGTAGTTATCTTCTTGAAATGCTGACGACGCCTTTTCCTTGGTAGTTGAAGAGCGAAGATAGCTCGAGTCCCAGAAGCTCTACCACAGGGCATATCTATGGAATGTACCACACAGGTTGAGAAGCGTACTTCCTCCAGCAGGGGTGACAGTTTTGATAGGCAATCTCTTTCATAATCTCATGAAGACTCCTTGGCTTAGTAACCTTCAGGTCATCGAGAAATAAATAGTTTGGCCATGATCTCATAATTAATATTTAGAGCTGCCTGTTGATGGCATTTCCGAGATCTTGGGCATGAAAGAACTTCTTTGAAGATTTGAAGCTGGCGTTGTAAAATTGCCATCTAAGAAGTCTATTTCGCATTTATCGTCTGCAGTCATTATTCGTGGGGATTGGATTTGCTTTGCCTTCTAAAATTTCAAGGCGGTTTGTGGTGGAATGTTGTCTGGTTCGTTCAGTTTAGTTATTCAAACGTTGTCCATTGCTTAATGGTGAGCATTTTGGAAGATTTAGTTATATTTTCACTATATGCAGACGAGCTGTTGCTTCAAATGTTTATCTCTGTAGCGTTTGCGTTAGTTCAGCAGTGGTCCTGGAGGATGCTGCCGGTCCTCTCTGTTGCTTCTTCTCGATTCTTAGCTTCTTCTGGAGATCCTTTCCTTGATTCCTGTATGCATTCCGAATCGTTGAACAGGCATTAGGTGCAAGCAGTTGACGAGGAAGTTTCTCCGGATTGTCCAGCGAAGTCAGAACGTCATCTTGCGACCATTCGCTCTCTCATACAACTACCTTAATCTAACTTATATCTAATAACAATATTTAAAAACAACTTTTAACAATCCATATTGTGATCGAAAGAAGGAAATATGAAGCCCGATTTTGTGAAAATTTGAATGCAGCTGCTGCATTGTCACAGTCTGTAGCTTTAAATCATATACAACAATGTGTAATATACAGTTCAACTGTAAACTACGTCTATACTTAAAACGTCTGACTTAAAACTAGACCCCAATACTATATACACTTCAATACTTAAAGATAGGATTTGATAATTAAAACCCATCGGCTTCAAAATGAGTCCAGTGTCGTCCAGACCACAGATGCTGCTGGTCTTTATATTTTAGGTTTCAGGTGGGTAGTTTGCCATCGAGTTATTATAAGAAGTGCGCTGTGAATATCCGAACCATTCGGGGGCCATCGGTACGTGTGTTTTTTTTCTCACGTGCTCTGTGAATTTTGTATATTCAACTAGAGCTTTGTTTTTGGAAAACGGAGGTTTTTTGTTTGTATTTTTTATTTTCGACATTACGCTGCCCTCTCCAGTTGTACGGTTGTTGTCTTAGCGTACTATGTATGCAACCATATGTTACTAACCTTTGAACTGCTCGATGATGATTCCAATTTACGGCGCTTAGAATCTGAAGTAAGAAAAGAGATTAGTGTTACAATGATTGTTAAAATCAAAGGTCTCGCTTACGTACCTTTTTCATATTCTTCTCGCCGGTGCTGCAACGAGCCGTTGCTTTCATTGGAAACTGAACTTAAATCTCGGTCTCTGGTACGTCCGTCGTATTCTTCATAGCTTCGATGTTCGTTGCCTACACTGCCCACCAAATCCACAGTCTCAACTCCAGAGTTTCCATCTTGACGATGTCGTTCATCCCGCCTCGTCTTCTCACGCTTTAGGGCGCGTTGGGCCGCAGACTCTAGTTCCTCTAAACGCACCGGTCGCTCCCGCATCCTTTGCTCCACATCACGCTCTTTCGTACGAATTTCACGCGAGCTCCGATGACTGCTTATGCTGCTGTGCCGATCGTGATCGCGCTCCAATTCCCGACTGCGCCGCTCGCTCTGACTGTTCCCATTACTGTTGTTGGTCGTGCTGATGTTATTGGTGGGTTGTTGTTGCTGCTGCTGCTGCTCTTCTGGACGACTCGACGATTCTCTGTTGCTGCCATCGCGCACAGTATGCTTAATCTCACGTTCATTTCCAGACTTGCCAGATGATACTGGAGGTGATGCTGACTCCGTTTTCACACTTTTTGATTCGACGCGTGGTGTCGAAGCTAAAAGAATTTTGTTTGAAAATAAGTTAGAATCGAAAAAAACTTCCAGAAATCCCTTGAATGTGGAAAACCACCAGGGAATATTTTGCAATTTAAATATATAAATGACGAAAGGGCTTTTAATTAAATGTTTTAATTCATATAACATCGCTTAACTTAGTCAGTGTATAAGAGATAGTCTTAATAAACGGACAACAGATTTTTTCAAAATATACTTCTTTCCAGAGAAATTAGAAACTTAGAAATTGCGGACGATGTTATCAACTGTTACCATTTAACAACACGAATAGTAAAGAAGGCCAAATACTTTTCATACATAATGCTGGTTATACTAAAGATTGGGGTAACAAAATTTTTGGAAAACATGGGGTGTGATTTGATGGGGGCCCTATTTTCTAAAGAAATTATCATCAAATTCGACTCTTACCCGCCTTAACCTCCAGGTCCTGTTTCACAGGCTTCTGCTCAAATAAAAACGTACTGCTATTGGCACCTTTTGCAATGGGTGTGCTGGTGGTTGTTTTCTCAATGGGCTGTCCTTTTATCGTACCAATGGGTGGTGGAGGGGATTCCTTATTGGGTCGTTCGGCCACCTGATGGAAATCACTCTCCTTTAGCATTTGCGAGGTCTTCTGCTTCAATTGTCCAATATAACTTGAAGCAATTGCATAAAGATCTGGACGTTTCGTCTTCTCCTCCTCACGGACTTTGTCAACTTTACGCTCAATGATTTGAGCCAACTTTGCCAGCACGGGATAATGTGGCAGTATGCGCATTAAAATAATCAAAGCATTGCGAATTTGCATAAAATCTTTCGAGTCCAGACAGAAAACAATTGCCTTAGTAATTTTATAATGCCATTTATGGCAGACATGGCGATAATTCTCATAACCGACATGATCGTTGGCTTCGGAGAATTGGTTGCTGACACGGAATTTGGTAACAAAACCAGGATAATTTGCGCATTCTTTGTTAAAGACCGCCTGATCGGCATGCCAACGCATGACGGTTTCGAGCATGGCACAAAGGAAACGCCCGTAACGTGTGGCCTCGCCTTCTGTGCACGAAGTAACGGAGTAGGTAATGTCGCAGAAGATCTGTAAATAAAGACGGATTAGCCGATAGAGTAAGTATTTAATAACCAACTAATACTTACGCGATCGTAGCAGAGCAATGTGGAAAAATTTGAAGTCTTTAGATTGTGAATTGTGTGCACGAATTTTGCGCAATAAAGCGCATCCAGTGCCGTAAAAGTGCAACGTGGGAAGAGACATAGTTGAAGAAATTGCGTAATTGTATCGTTCTTGGCTGATTTGGCTGACCGCAACAGGAACCAGCTATCCTTTTGCTCCTGTAGTCGCTGCGAGATCTTGTCTACATGCTCGTGTTGCTTCTTACGTTCATCATTCAGTTTCTCCATCAACGCAATATAACGTTCCTGTTCCTTTTTGTTTTTGGATTGATTCTGCAAGAGAAACATAATTTTATTACAAATGGTGTCATTTCAAATTCATGACTTTCAACACTATACACACCGAGTCCTTGCCTTCTGCGGCCTGTTGCGACAACTGCTTCAGTTTGCCAATTTCGCGCTGATAACTTTCATTTGGCACGTGCAGATCGTACATACTTAGGCTCCAGAAGGTAACCAAGAACTGAGGACTGATGTCCTCCCATACTTTGGAGCTGTGCAATGGCCGTACAGATTCCACAATCGGATTCATTATGAGCTGTGTAGCTTCTAGATATTTTTGCATTTTCTGCGTTGTAGTTAACTTTTTCGCATTGGGATCGGCCTTACGGAGCTGATCGTATTTTTGCTAAGAAATTAAATTGAATGTTAAATTATTATATATGTTTGTTTAATTTAATAAATAAACTTACATTGATCTGATGAGTAAACATGGGACGTGCCAAGAAGAATGCCACATCAGTATTAATGTGATATTCACGCAGCATGGTTATGATCGAGGGCAAACGTTCGACATATTCGTCAACGGAATAGGTGGAGCCCAGAAAGGTGCCAAACTGCACCAAAGTATCCTGGCACTGGTCGTAAAGATTACCCACGAGTTTAAGATGACTATGCGCTGCAGTTTCACGATAGATAACACAATGCTTTTGTTGCGCCATCAGCAAGCAAATCGCAACGGCGAGATCATTGTTCGCTAAGGCCTCCTTTAGGCGATTTGATGATTTTTTAGTATTGCGCACCTGACTAAAATAGCCGGCCTCTCCCCGCAACTGCTCGCCACCGCACATGGCCTGCAACTGGTCGTTGGTCATCTCCTCAGCAGATTCCACACCAGCCATTTTATGCACAATTTCACGCAATATCAGCAAGTCGAGGCTCTTTTGCGACTTCAACTGATTGGCGACATATTGCAGCAAACCGCTCAGCTCAATGCTGTACTTTTTATATATAGTGCCACAGAAAGAGGCCAAACTCTGCAACCAAAGCGACAACGAAGTTCCATCGTCCTTGAAACGCATGCGTTCCGTCATCGTCAGTGATTCTATAATGCAATAACCCAAACAGTCGAATGACAACGCCGTCAAATACTTGAGCATGTCACAAACAGGTCCAATGAGATTGTCATAAATTTGTATTTGCAATAGAATCTGCCGAATGAATATATGTATTATATTGATTTCCCTTTGGTATAAATATCTACTTACATAGTCAAATAAGAGACCGGGAGCACAATGGCTGTATTTGCCCACGAGTCTGCCCAACTGCTTAACATTTTCCTTACTCACGCGCTTCATCAGGGCTTTGATGTCCCGCTGTGCCAGCCCACAACGTCTTATTAAATTGGGATGAAGCAAATAGCTGTCGTTCTTCCATCGCGCATACAAGCTGTACCGAAAATGATATGGAAAATATTTGAGCACAGCCCAAATTTCCTCAGACATGGAACAATTGTGGTCCAAATATAATAGTGAGGGTAGAATGCTGGAGTCCAGCACAGTCATAATGTCATAGTAATGCTGCTCTGCTTCGGAATTGGGCGGCGGCCCATTTAAACTGTCCACGCCCATATCCACAATGAGTGTGGCCATGATCCGTACCAATTTGTACATTAACACAGTATCGTAGTGCATGGCAGGACCCAAAACTTTAGCCATTGGCCAAGTATACTTGCGTAAATCGCTGAAATTGCGGGCTTGCATCTTAGCTACCAGCTTGGTATCGTCGTATAGACGGCTGCGACTAGGCTTACGACCGGCGGGGGCTTTAAAGCATTTCTTATAGTACACTTGCTCCACAGACAAATGTATAAGTTCGGCAATGGCGCGTGCAATAGGCTCCTGCACCACAATCGCTTGTTCTGGCAGTTTTTGTATGATTTTATATGCATTTTCCCAGTCGCCAACTTTCAGCAATGCCTCACACAGCCCAAACTTTTGATTGGCATTGTACTTCTCCTGCAAGTATTCATTTAATTAAATGCAATCAAAATTTCAATATGGCGCTACATACCTCATCGAATTTCTTGACCGACGGCGGTGCTTGTGTCTCCTTATCATCTTCCTTTTTATTGGTCGATATCAAATTAAGTTTCCGCACCATTTCTTTGGCATCTACGATTTCAGCTTCCCAATCTGATTTGATGCTCGCATCGCTAGGAGTGAGCCATGAGTATACATCGTTCAGTTCAATGACGCCGTGTTTGAGGAGCAGCGAGCAGACATGGAAAAGGGAACGCGGCGTTCTTGAGGCCTTAAAATGGCAAAATTTATAACCTAGCACTTCACAAATGATGGCACCAGCTGGCATGTAGCTTCGCAATAATGGTATGAAAAGCTGCCAGCGGTCAGGACGCGTTTCAAAGGACTCAATAATAATATCAAGCACACGATTGGGATCCAAATTGAAACAGCCTAGAGATATTAAATAGAAAGTTTAGTATCTTATATATTATAATTATAATCTAAGAGTCACCTATTAATGACTTGATTATGTCCATAATGCTGTCTGGGGTTGTGTGTTTTTCAAAGTCCTGATTTAGCTCCGTTATGAGCTTGGCGAAGCCCTCGCTCTCCTCACGGAACAAATTGAAGCGACGCTGCTTGTAGCTGCAAATGAATTATTTAAGCCTCTTATCTTGATATGCCCTTCTCTCCACTGCTACGTACTATAACTTGGTCTTGACCTTGATGAATTTTGTGTAGAAGCTCTTGTTCTTCACAATGCCCACCTCCTGCAGCGTGTCAATCTCCAGGCGCTCCTTAAGCAAGCTCTCCGGCACCACCTTGTCCAAGTCCTTGACTATTTGCACGAAGCAATGTCGCTCCTCCTGCAGGCCCTCTGTCATAAGTGATGTTTCGCTATCCAGTATATTAATGATGTCCAGTATGAGACTTGGAAATTCCTTATGCAATGCCTAAATACAAATTCAATAGTTAAACAGTTGTAATGCAGTAGCACATTTGCATTTGACACACTTACCACAACGTCGGTAAGAACGTGCAGGACGCTATCCTTTTTGAGCTTGAACCGTAACGCCTGCCAGAGCAACTCGTAGATGGCATTCGAAATGCCCTGTTTAAATGCGCCATTGCAATCAAAGACGGGACTATCTGGCTTATCCTGCAGCTGCTGTTTTATGTATTTCACACTAAAACGAAACGTTTAATTTCAGCAACAATACAACAGCAGTCTATGCTACTAAAAGATAACACCATCAGCATCAACAACGCAACACAACACACGCGATCGCGCCTCAATGGTCAAAATGATAGTGGTGTGGTGTGTCTGCTGGCGTTTTGTGGCACGTACAATTCACTCCTGCCCGATTTATCAAAGTGCTTAAAGATCTCCAGGTTCAGTAAAGTCTCGTTCGCCATGCTTGTTGTCTCCCGAACGCGAATGGCGCTGCTACCATTCTCATTCTCAGCCACCGCTGTATCGGCCTCTGTCACGCTGTGACTCTTTGTAAGTTTCTTAAAACGCCGCATACAAGCAAATTAAACGCGAGATGAGAACGACACGTTTTCTAACAGGTCGAAACTATTTGTCTAATTCTTCTCTCGTATTTATTTATATTTTTAAAATTTTCTCTTCTGTTTTACAAGTCTTGAAAAAAAATTCGTGCCGTAGTGTTTTCTGTCGTTCACAATAGTCGGTAAGGGATGCCGAATAGCAGGCTAACTTTGATAGTACCAAATGGTATGTTTGAAAATGAAACGATAGCTTACTTTCTAGGACTGTACGCATTCTGCACAATAAAAACTAACACGATTGCATGTTCTTGCAAATTGATTGGTGGGAATCGAAATCTTAGTAAGAACAGGGTGTTTCACAGACACATGAAACACTGAACCAGTTAAATAGCTAATGTATATTGTTTAAAAAATTTGCACCTTATTAGAAGTGGTTTAGTTGTAGAATATTTTATATGAAATTAAATTAGATTCACAATTGAATCTCAGCTTTTCTTTTTCAATCAGCTGTTGAAGTTACTCAAGGCTGTCAATCGCATCCAATTATTTTTATATGCGCTTTGTTATTAGGTTGAATCATTTTTTGAAGAATTATGTATCATGGATAAAGGATGTACCAGGTTAAATAGTTATCGGTCAAACGCATGTCACTTTCATTTAATTTTAAGAAAGCAGCTGTTCTGATCAAAAAAAGTGAAATTTATTACAATTATCGATTATTAATTAAACTGTTCAAGAACGCAAAACATTCAAAATTAGCTATATGCGCTAATCAGTAAGTAAAATTGTTAGTATATCTCCCCATCCTATCAACAGAATGGTGTTCATTGATATTATTCCCCGCGTACTCAAAGGATATTAGCACGTATTTTCTTTAAATTTAATAAGCAACAACGTCTTCAACAAAAGCAGCTAGTTAAAAATGTATTTAAAATAATTGATATTTTTATTTCTTAAAGCATTTAGAAAAAAATGTTGCTTTACATAAAAGGCAAGTGATGGTCGTTAAATTATAAAATAAAACGTTTCGTGAGGCTGCCACTCTTTTTAGCATAGCCTACTGTTTCTCGATAGTTCGACGCCGGAAACCCGATGCTTGTGATGCCGATGGATATTTTGGATGAATTCTAAAACACTAGACACAAAAAATTTCTTGAGTTCCTTGACATATTCCATTTCTTTCTAACATTTCAGATAATTTTATGAATTAAAAACTTTAAGCGCTTTGGTCGACAGAAATTTTATCAATTTGGTATTTCAATAAAAGTTTAATGGTAGAACAAATTCGGCAATCATTAATTTCTAACAAGCTCTTAAACAGTAATCTTTTTTAAACTTATAAGTAATTAGATAACAAATCTAACTGATTCGTAAATTTATCAGTATATTCGAAGTGCTTTTAAACTATGGTCAAGTATGATTATTAGCGACTTCCATTATTTACACACAAAATATTGAAGATTATAATTTATTGTTTAATAATAAGAAGAATTGGATTACATCTATTCTCTAGGCGATTTTAAGTCAAAATAATTATATGTACTTGATACATAATCTAACATCTTTTTCAATCCTTGTACAAAGCTTCGTTTTCTATCTTAACATCACATTCGACCATAAGCGGAGAGGTTTCTTCATAGCAACTACCCAAAGTATATTTTCCCCCGTCTGCACAGCGAGCGTAGTTTGCAGCCGGAGCGGGTATCAACCTTGGCATAACGGGCCCAGTTGGGGTGTCTGCATGGATTTCTCGAGGGGTTTTCGCATCTTGGATATCTTCGCGCTTTAAATCCATCAAAATACGACTCGTTTCCAAACGAAATTTTAGGTTACCCATATCCGAGAGTGACTTCAAATGTGGCAGCAAGCTTATTAGGAAATTGTAGTCGGCATCACCTTTGGATGCTGCCTCCGGCAAGAGTGCACCATTCGTGGCAGTGGTCTGAGCAGTGTTCAATGGTTCGTCATTCGGCGACAAGGACTTACTCTTTCGCCCACGTTTTGGTGGGGGTGGCCTGTCTGCGGCAATGTATGACGTCTCAATTCCTGATGTATTAGGAACTGTATTAACTGTCGAATTCATGTCCATTTCGAGGCGTTTCTTGATGGACGCCATTTCCACCTCTGCATTTCGCGGCGAACCGCGTTGAAATATGTCGTCCATAACATCGAAGGCAAGTGAATCATCACTTTGTACATCCACAATAAAATCATCTATAAATTCCGTATGCGTTGTATCAAGTTGAAATGCTTGCACGGGAAACTGAACCAAATTCTCCGGGTCAAAAATTCGGCGCAAAAACTCCAGAGCGCGGAAGTAGGGCCAGTTCGACGTATCCATACGACCTCTTTGTATTTTTCGTATTTCATTGCGATAGCAATCACGCAAGCTTTTGAAACGTTTCCGGCATGCAGTAACTGCGATAATTTAATACATGTATATTATTTTCACCCTGGTGACAACAAACATGAAATTGTTGGCTTACCGTCCATGTTCATGATGTCTGCAACTTCTTGCCATTGCAACCCACATATGTCCTTGCGGCTTGTCATTGAAATTTGTGTGTCCCACAGAGCCTGTCGCTTAAAGACTTCGGCTATCAGTTGAAAATTATCTATTCTGTTGTCCATAGTGTTACCACGAGATACGCGTGCAAAGTTATTTTGTTGGCGTGTTAGCAAAAGCATCTACAACTGGCAAGGCTGCGGCTGCCCAATAAACAAGCTTCTGCGTTGCAAGCGAACGTACGCTTACTGCAAATACGCCAAGTCAGCGAACAAAGTATAAGTAAGATATTCCGCACCCCCTCCTGTACACTTTTCCGATTAATTCCGCGTGAAAAAAAGTGCTTGCGCTAGGTTACCCACGCAACTTGCGACACAAAAACGCGACGCGGCAGTTGCGTGAGAGCGATAAGTAATCATATGTGCGAAACGGTGAGAATGAAACAAGGCGCAGCTGTAGCGAACATGGAGGATTTGTACATCGTGCAAATTAAGCCGGCAACTAAATAATTTCTACATTTTTACATTCTAGTTCAATTGATTGAATTGGTTCAGATTTGGTAGTTCGTTTGGAACTCATTATAAAGAAGGTCATTGAATAACTCGTTCTTTTTGATCATTTTAGTCATGAACAAATTACAAAAATATCATGAAATATAGGGATTTGGTAAGCCAAGTATTCACTATTAAATAAATTTTATCGATATACAAAATGATCACACAATATTCTACCAAAAAATTAAAATGAATGTATTCGATTAAAAAAATGTCAGCTGCGGAATGAATAAAACAATATTTTACAACAAATATGTGAAAAATCAACATTAAAGAAACAAAAATGAAACCTAATCAATGGAGTAAAATAAAAAGAATCTTTTTGCAGTCTATTAATAACAATTCTAGATAAAACCCACTAATTGTTTGCTGCTAATCAGCAAATAACACTTCAGCTGTATAATAATACCAATGTAATAGATATTAAATTTATTAAAAATTCCTATTTTAAAACTAAATCAAAATAGAAGAAAGAAGAAGATTCAAGATATGAAAGAGTTTTGCTAAAACGTTGGAATTTAATTTTCTTGTTAAATGTAATCTGGTCAAAATTTCTTTTTCAAAAACAAAACAAGTAAAAAAGCTAAAGTCGGGTGTCCCGACTTTGAAATACTCTGTACATATTTTTACAATAATTATAGAAAATAAAAAAAAATTAGGAAAATTAAAAAAAAAAATTTTGATCGATTTTACCTTTCTCGGTATTCGAACTCACGTAAAGGGTGTATAATTGCACATTTAAATAACAATTGCGTCTGTGTGAGTGTATGTATGCCTATGGGCATCTATTCGTGTCTGTGTAAACATGCATCAACAGCCGCGGGCAGCGCTTGAGCAGCGCTGCAGCAGCAAATATATTTATGGCTATTACTTCTTGTTAAATCGGTCTATCATAGTGAAACTTGGCACACGGACACATAATAACCAACTGGGGGTATTTCCAATTTCGAAATTCCAAGAATTACGGTAGTTAGTGAAAATCGCGATTTGAATGGGAGAGGGGGGAGGGAAGGAAATTCCAAAATATACATTTTCTGCGTATTCACATAAGGCATCTAGTGTTCCTAGGTCTTATAGCCTCCGAGATATAGGCGATTATACGAATGGAAAATCGGGAAAATAAAAAAAATAAAACAAACTCGTATAGAATACACACATAAGGCATCTTTGTGCAAAATTTGGTGTCTCTATCTTTTATAGTCTCTGAGGTCCAGGTGTTCATACGGGCGGGTAGACAGACAGACAGGGCTAGATCGACTCGTCTTGTCACGCTGATCAAGAATATATATACTTTGTGGGGTATGCCACGCCTCCTTCTGCCTGTTACATTTTTCAGCTCCCGCATACCTAATATATGTACTTCTGTACATTTTATGTACAGAGTATAAATAGCCGTTCTAATGAAATTTTAAAAAATCTGCCCCCGAGCTGATATTGTAATAGTTTGTGTGTCCATATTTTTCGCAGCATGGCTTAATATGGATCAGCTGTGAATCTACGAAAAATTAAAGTCTTAAACAGCATTAGTAATACATTTAAATGACTGCATCTAACGACTTAAACAATTGAATTTTTACTTAGTCTTGTAAGAGGGTCAGACGTGTCTAAAATTTGTTAAAATGATTTTAAATTCGCTGTTTCAATCTCTGAAATTGTGTTTGTCGGATCATAAAAATATGTACATATGTATATATGTATGAGGATGTGTCTGGATATGTATAAAGATAAGGCCAATATATATCGATTTGTATACTTCTTAAATTTTGTGACTACGATTTACATCCATTTTAATTGATTTAGATTTACATCCATTTTATTGTATTTATTCCGTGAGTGATGAATATTATCAGCTAAAGAGACGTTGCCTTAGAGATGACAACAATTGTCGAACATAAGAGCGGAACGCTGTAAATGAAACAACAACTTTATTGAAAGGAGGAGTTGCTAGTCTCCAAGAGGCCGGCTGTTTAAAAATTCCTTGATTTTTCAATAAATTCCATTATTTTCAACAGTTAAAAAAGAAGAATCAAGCAAAAATGTCGCAAAGCGAAGATGCAATGGAAGAGGAGTTGCCGGAAAACACACTGGAGCATTTTGCAGAACTCGAGCAGGTGCTGTCCATGATTGAAAACATAAAGTCCATCGAGGGCAACACATTCGAGAAAGAGTTTGAACAGTACACTGAGGTACTGACACGGTAAGCATGACTCATACCCAACTACGCAATTAAGTACGATATTCATTGCTTGCAGTTACCAAGATCAGCCGCATTTGCTGGACCCACATATGGAGCTGCTGCTATCGCGATTGCTAGGCAAGATTCGACAGGCAGATTTATCAGAGGGGGAGCGACATGCGGCCTTTAAGTATATGTACATCATTAGCAAGGTCCGCACATATAAGGTGTTGGTCAAATGCATGCCTCATGAGCTCAGCGATTTGGAATTCGTATTGGAGCTACTCGAAAAACAAGATCCAAAGGAGTTTGCCAATTGGGAGACGCGATATATGCTGCTACTATGGATGTCCATATTGGTGCTTAATCCCTTTCATATGTCTCGTTTAGATGCCTACGATGCCCAGCCAAATACGGCACCAATGAATGCCACCACCAATTGTGTGCTGAGCAATCATGTAAATACGAAGACACCTAAAATGGAGCGCATCTTCGAGCTATGCAAGCTGTATGCGTCCACCAATGATACCTGCAGCAACATGGCCGCCTATTTGTCAGCCAAATATTTCATACGTGCCGACATCAAGGATTTGTATTTGGAAAGGTTTCTCGATTGGGTCATCGAGCAGCATCAGGCGGATACTCTGAATGTAAAATTTGGCCAACTGGCAGCAGTGGCGGCCATACTGAAGCACGGAAAGCGCGAAGATCTGTTGCCATACGCGGACAAGCTGCTTCAATGGATCGTCTCATGTCAATACAAGGGTGGCAATGACTTTCTGAAGTATAAGAACTACGTAAAGATTGTGCAACGCATCGGGCTCGTACACTTGAAGCCACGCCTAGCAAGCTGGCGCTACAAAAGAGGTGAGTGATTAATAAAGAAAGATTAATAAAAACGAACAACAACTACTGAACATTTCTTACCAGGCACTCGTTCACTGGTTACGAATCTGACTCAGCAGTCAGCCGGCGGAGATCGCTCAGCTGGGGAAGCGGGCGCCACAAATACCGACGAATCAAGCGAGGAAATTGTTGTGCCGGATGCCATCGAGGAGGTGATTGAGGAGCTATTACAGGCTTTACGTAGTGGGGGAAATGACATACGTTGGAGCGCCGCCAAGGGCATCGGACGTGTAACGAACCGTTTGCCCAAGGAGCTGGCTGATGAAGTAATTGGCTCTATTATTGACATTCTTAATCCACTGGAGCCGCACGAGGCATGGCATGGCGCCTGTTTGGCTCTAGCAGAGCTAGCCAAACGCGGCCTTTTGTTACCATATCGTTTGCACGAGCTCGTTCCGCTGCTCATGCAGGCACTTTTCTATGACGAGATGAAGGGATATATGTCTGTGGGTCAACATATTCGCGATGCGGCCTGCTATATGTGCTGGGCATTTGCTCGTGCATATAATCCGGATGACTTAAAGCCGTTTGTGCAGCAGATTTCCTCAGGTCTGCTTATTGTGGCTGTATTCGATCGTGAGGTTAACTGCAGGCGTGCTGCCTCTGCAGCCTTTCAAGAGAGTGTTGGACGTCTGGGGAATTTCCCATTTGGCATTGAAATATCAACCACCACGGACTTTTTTTCGGTGGGCATACGTCAGAACTCATTTTTGAATATCAGCGATTTTATTGCCCAGTACGAGGAATATCGTCAGCCCTTAATCGATCATTTGGTGCAACGCAAAGTTGGCCATTGGGATGCATCTATACGCGAATTGACGGCCAAGGCGTTGCACAAGCTCGCTTTTCGCGCTCCCGATTACATGGCAGCTGTGGTTCTGCCTCAATTATTGGCCAAAACGGACACCATCGACATAAACGCCCGCCATGGCTGTGTGTTGGCCATGGGGGAAATAACCCTGGCCCTGCGAAAGCTAGAAGTCGCGCCCGAGGGTCCTAGAACTTATCTGACCAATCAACGCATTGTCGAGCTTAATGAATTGATAGGCACTTTCCAGAAACGCAACTATTATCGCGGTATGAGCGGCGAGCTAATGAAGTCGTGCACATCAAACTTTATACGTAACTGCAGTTTGGCCAAATTGAGGGTCACACCGGAATGCTTGGGTAAGTCTTATCGTAATAGTAATTGGCTTTCGGGATACTTTAGAAATTTGGCTACTTTCTATAATATTTGAGTTATTTGCTGATTTATATAAAAATTAGGACTTTGGGAAGTTTAATTTATCTTTAAAGAATAAATATTTCTGGGACTAGTTTGGAAAAAGAGTTGTAAAATGAGTACAGATGCAGATATTATGTCGAGACCGACAATGTAAGGCACTTTATGAATTATGTAGCTGTCATAAAAACGACGATTAAGGGTTTTGTGTACCTGATGATAATGAATCCGTCTTTCTGTTCGTCTGTATGAACGCAATAATCTCAGAAAGTATAGTATTTATACAGGTTCTTCTAAATCCAAGAAATGGCAAGTACATGATTGTTTTTCTTGATACAGTCCACTTTTGTATCCGACTAAAAAACTGTTAATAGCTCCCGTTGTCTTAAAATTTGCCCTCTTAATTATGTAATTACATTTCTTAACGATTATATGTCATCATGGTATGTTTTATTTATGCATTTGAAAAAGTACTTAAGTATATTTATGTACTATTACTTTTAATTATTTCTGTTTTTTAGATGAAATAAAATTAAATGTAATCATTTTTGAGTAAAGTTGGGGTTGCAAGTTATTTAAGAGTAGGGCGAATTATATTCTTGTTTATAGATTTTTAACTATTGTTATTGACTTTATCCAGGTATGGAAGCTATAAATATTGTAATAATTGTAAACAAAATTGTTTGCAAAACTAATTTTTCGCTTGACCACATTTTTTACCCCATTTGTGGGTTGAATTTTCAAAAAAAAAAAAATGTGCGATAGTAACAAACAAACAAAAAGTTATCAATACAGAATAATTGGTTTTCATTACAGTCACATGGCAACAAGTCATCGATGCGTGCCTCGGGTCCAAAACGGGCAGCGTGCGTCAATCGGCTGTGGATGCATTCGCAGAGCTAACCGCTACTTACTATTGTGTAGACACACGTCAGCAGGAGAACGAGGCAATAATTCAGTCGTACCTAAGGGGAGCAGACGATAATCTCGAAGAACATATACGTATGGGCTACATTGCGGCGTTAGGTGTTCTGCCCGCCTATATGATTCGTCCACATTTGGAATACATCCTAGACAGTCTTGTGAGGCATTCGTTGACGCCATTGCAGGCAGTTATAGCTGGCGATATAAGACTGCAAAACCATGAAACGGTGCAAACCTATAGATGGAGCGAAGCCCGCACAAAGAGTGTTCAGGCGCTCACTCAAATTGTTAAGACAGTTGGCTATGAGGGGATGAACTCGTTTTCAGAACCCCAACATTTCAAGAAGGTGATTGAGTGTCTACTTAAGGCCATGGACGAATATACGTTGGATAATCGCGGAGACATTGGCGCCTGGGTGCGTGAGGCGGCCATGACTGCCGCCTTCGATATTATAACCAGTTGCCCACACAGTTTGCTGTCGTCTACGCATGTACATCAGATTGTTGTGGGCTTTATGCAGCAAGCAGTGGAGAAAATAGATCGTACACGAGGTCTTGCCGGACGGCTCTGTTGTGAACTAATTCATACTGAGCCCAGAGTTCCACATATAAGGGAGCACACCCGACTGTGTGAAATATTCCCCCTGGACCCCAATTCAGTGCTCTGGCTATTTGCTGATCATACATTCCCATTGTTTTGCGAATTGCTCGCACTACCCGACTATTCAAAGCGTGTGCTACTCGGATTGAGTGCCAGCATTGGCCAGCTTACAGAATCGTTGGTGAGTACGTCGATCTATTGAGTAGATGCTCTTGATTATAACAATTATGTCTATTTCCGCAGATGAAATATGCATCAAATGCATTATTCCAGTTTTTACGTTCCAATGTTGAAATGGTTTCGCGCCTTTGCTCGGAAATTGTAGAGAACTTTCAGGAGAATCTCCTAAATGAACGCGTAACGTATCCAATGCTCACATTCTTGGAGATTCTCATCGCTTCAGGGACTATTGATGAGGTCCTGCAAGATGAAGAAAACCAATTTGCCGAGGACATCTTCCGCTTGTTAAGCCTGGAGGTTAAGGGCTACAAGAAGCTTTACAAAACTGCATCAAGTATTGGAACTTTCTGCCAACTGGTGCAGGTACCACGTCTTACCAAGCGTGTCCTGTCTAAAATGGCCGTGTTTCTGGGTTTGCAGCACGTACATGTGCGTAAAACAGTGGCCACCAAGTTGTATGAATCTTTGGCGTTGCACGATGACGTCACCGACATAGATCCGGAAAATATGGAGCAAATTCTAAACATGTTGTCGGAAAGCGATTGGTCTCAGCCCTTAATACAAGTGCGGCCCTTACGCAACGAACTGTGTAGGCTAATGGGCATAAAGGCACCAACAGCAAATAGTGGGCCTTCGGCAGCCGCCAACCAAGCGATTAACACCCTAGTTGCAGATAAATAACTTATTCGGCAGTATTTAATACTTATAATATAATTATTTGTATTTGCAACCTTATTTTATTCAAATACTAATCTAATTTATTGCCTTTGTATGTCGAAAAATTATCAGTAAATACCGCTGAACAAATTTAAATCGCCCGCACTGTCGTTTCGATAAATATCGGTAGAAGTGCGAGTACCACATGCTGTTTCATTCCACTGTTCCATCACTAGTCTGTTGTAATGTGCCGAAATTGCACGTAAAATGCAAAAGCATTTATGAAAAATAGCATTAAAACGTGAATAAGGATTGATCAGCATTTCTTCGTGTTTCTCCGCGTATATAACGAAATATGTGTGTGTCCAAATCATACGCGCTCTGAAAAATTAATCATTTTAACGTAGGAAACATACATATTTGTAAATAAGACACAATTTTATTCCTTGTTACACAATTTTAAGACAAGAAATCCAATATAATATATTCTTGTTGTTGTTGCTGCACCGTAAATCGAATATGAGCATTTGGAGCGTACGATGCTTGAGTCAAAAATTCAGTCGCCAGGCCTATATTTTAGCCAACTCAAGGAATGTCTTGTCTCCGGCACATCGTCTACCGGTTAATGGTGAGTGCACATTCACATATGCACGTGAGTGTGAGTGTTTGTCTGTTAAGCTTATGTGGGAGACAGCAGCACTCCATTTGAGGTTATGTGTACATGGTATAATTGTATTTTTTTTTAATTTGCAGGAATCAATAGAACGGCACACAACAGTTTATATCAAATGGTAAAAAAGCGCACCCTTGAAGCGCGTACAAAATTACAAGCAAACAAATATCCGAACAATCAAGCATGCATGACAGTCCCCACAACCACAGAGCTCGAAAATGTTGCAACAGCGACGGATTCATGTGAACTCACTATACCTTCCCGCGCCACGCCCAGTTATCATGAATCACAAGCCCAATTCAAAGTGGTACAATTTCCACCCACTCTTCCTTCGCTTCCTTCCATTTCGCTTTTCGTCTTACATTTTTCTGTACTAATCGACATGTTTGCTTATAATGCATTTATTTTATTGTACAGGCCTGCCAGCAGGTTCCTGCAAAGGAGGTGCTGAAATCGTCAGAATGCCGGGAACCTAAAATCGACACCTGCAGACAACCGCCGAAGGATCCCTGCGAGGAGTTCAATCGAAAGCGTCGGGAAGCAGATTTTGGACGTGGCCCGGGTGGACCTTGTGGTGGCGGAGGCGATGGTGGCAAAGGAGAAGACGACTCATTTAAATTGAAGTGCTTACTGGGTATGTTGGCGGCTTTGTTGGCAGGTGGATTGGTAAGTAAAGGGCCATATATTGTAAAACAGAGCCAATAGTGTCCAACACAACGCTCTCGTGTCATAGATAGCGTGGTTGATGACTCGGCGATCAAAAACTGACGAACACAGTGAAGCTGAAGATCAGGAGGCAAGCTTGAAGCGCGCGAAATTATCCGGACTTATTACAAGTAAGTCTTCAAATCTTGAATGGGATAAGGAAAAATCAACACGAAGATTATTATTAATAGTATATTTCTCTTCACACCAGCACCGCGCACTTCTGCCGAGTTGCCACAGCACGTGCCGTATCTGATTATTGGCGGTGGCACTGCTGCGTTCTCGGCATTTAGAGCTATCAAATCGAATGATGCCCGCGCCAAGGTTCTAATGATAAGCAACGAATTCCGCAAGCCATACATGCGTCCGCCGCTCTCAAAAGAGCTGTGGTATACGCCAAACGCCAACGATGATCCCATTAAGGACTATCGCTTCAAACAATGGACGGGCTCCGAGAGAAGGTGAGTTCGGGAATAGCAATAAAATAGCCAAAAAATGCTCTACATTCAATGCTTTGCTCCTTTTGTAGCTTGTACTTTGAGCCCGAGGAGTTTTTCATGGATCCCACCAAGCTGGAGGATAGCGTAAACGGTGGCATAGCCGTCGCTCAAGGTTTCACAGTTAAAAAAGTGGATGCGCAAAAGCGCATTGTGACACTGAACGACGGCTATCAAATCGGTTACGATGAGTGTCTAATTGCGACCGGCTGTTCGCCAAAGAATCTTCCCATGTTCCGTGATGCAGCGCCTAGTGTGCGTGAAAAAATAATGGTCTATCGTACGCCCGACGATTTCGATCGATTGCGTAGATATGCATTGGAGAAGCGCTCCATAACCATTGTCGGCAATGGCTTCATTGGCAGTGAACTGGCCTGCTCCCTCGCGCATTACTCAAAGGAAAATGGTGGTGGCAAAATCTACCAAGTGTTTCAGGAAAAGGCAAACATGTCCAAGGTGCTGCCAAACTATTTAAGTCGCTGGACGATGCAGAAGATGGAATCCCTGGGCGTTTGTGTCATACCCGACGCCACGATACGGGCGGCATCACGCGATGAATCAAATATTAAGCTGGAACTTAATAATGGCATGACACTCATGTCCGATATTGTGGTGGTTTGTGTGGGCTGCTCGCCCAATACCACAATTGCCTCGTCTTCCGGCTTGGAAGTGGATCGCAGTCTTGGTGGTTTTGTGGTAAATGCCGAGCTGGAAGCGAGAAGAAATTTGTATGTAGCTGGCGATGCCTCCTGTTTCTACGATCCTCTTTTGGGCCGAAGAAGAGTTGAGCACCATGATCATTCAGTGGTCTCGGGTCGACTGGCAGGCGAAAATATGACAGGAGCGAGTAAGCCCTCAAGTGCAGTAAAAATTCTCATAATAAAACATTTGTTTGTTGGTCCAGTTAAGAGAGTTTTTACTGTAGCAGCTCAAAGCTGTATTTAAATTAAAATATGTAAGTACTAATGTACTTTTACCTTTTCAGAAAAGCCGTATACACATCAGAGCATGTTTTGGTCCGATTTAGGTCCAGAAATCGGCTACGAAGGCATCGGCTTGGTAGACTCTTCCCTGCCAACCGTTGGAGTCTTTGCATTACCCTCGGAAGCTGATCGTCATGCCGATAATCTGACAGAGAAGCGAAGTCAAGAGGACCCTTATCCCAATGATGGTGCTGATGGTGATATATACAGCTCGGATGGAGAACCTATCAAATGTGATCCCGACGATGAACCCCATTACGGCAAAGGTGTCATATTCTATCTCAAGAATGACAAAATTGTCGGCATACTCTTGTGGAACTTATTCAATAGAATAGGACTAGCACGTACGATTATCAATCAGAACAAGAAATACGAAGATCTCAACGAGGTCGCAAAGCTCTTTGAAATTCATGCGTAGAACAAAAGACCAAACTATGACATTATCAGTCTTGAGTACCGGGAAAAACGTCTGCTGCCACCGCCCTGCACCCCCGTCGATGCTATTCCTATGCAATTTATCTTGTATATATATACTTGTATGTGACCAGAGCAAAGAGCACAATGCAACAGAAATTTAGTGTTATTATATATTGGAATAAAATGTTTTGTAGTCAAAAATTTATACACAAATTTCATGTTATCTGTAGGCGGCGCAGACATGTAGACGAATGTTGATTTATTATTTGTACAAATAAATTTATAAAATTACATAAGACAATCACATCCGAATTTGGTCTTTCTGCACATATGTATGTAAGCTACGATCATAAAAGTTTTGATCCATTTGCTACAGAGTTGCAGCTGTCTGGGATTCCTTATTTACCTGAGCCAGCAAGAACCTATTAGGTGGGCTTAACTGCCAATAGGTAGGTCCTGATCCAGGTAGGCTGACAGGTAAACAATAGTTTTGACTGAAATTGTCTTAAAAGCAGTCGACGTGCTTGCTTTAGCTTACAGTGTATACCCAGTCCTAGTTGCATCAACAACATGAAGTGTTATATGGAGTCGACCATTGCGTTACCAAAATATCCACAAAATTCCTCCACGCCAGAATCATTGGGTAAGTTTCGTTAATAGCATAGAAAAATACGGGGAAAATATAAAAATATGATCATTCTCAAGGCCTACTGCTTCTGATTTATAAATGCTACACAATTTTACTGACAACTGGTAATAAATTCATAATATCATATAACCCCAAGTATTCTTTTAAGTGATATCTTCACTTTGATGTTCTAAGTTGTTTATAGATATTGGTAATGATACGAATAGATTCAAAATTTGTAAAGCCATTATTAAAATCACATCTTACAGAAAGCAATTAAATGTGGGGTTTATTAAAACCGAAAAAATGAAAAGTAATGAAAAGCAAAGGTTAAAAATGTAAAATCTAAAGTAAAGAAACGGAAATTCTAATTTTTTAAAAATCCAATAATGGTATTGGTTAACAATGTTTCAGACTTATTCTAAAGACGAATAAGCAAATGGATTTTTGATAGATCTATGTGTCAAAATTATTTACCAACTTACAGACATATAGTAGAAGTACAGCTTAGTCAGATATTTTTAGTTATAGGCGGCTCTTTTAGGCAAGACTGGTATTAGATGATAAGTGAGAAACACTTTAAACTGTTACTTGATTTCCTATTTGATTAAAATTCAAAAGAATTTATACATCTTAATGCTTTTCTATAAATCTACTAAAAATGTGTTATACAGCTCAGTCAATTCTGTTTAAATATAGGTGGTTTTATAGATTGGATAATTAGATTATGAAGGGCTTAAATGTGTAGCCCAAGAAAAAGGTGGAACAATTTTTTGTTTTCTCATTATTATATTCGATAAGAAATGAAAGGTCGTTTTATAGAATTCTATCCAAAGCCTTATAGACACTATTTGCAATTCGGCTAAGACATATCGAAGAGAAAAACCAGGAAATACTATAAATTTAAAACTTGTATTAAGAAATTTAAATGGCCTTTTAATAGCCTTTAAATGTAGGACAGTTTAGTTACAACGTTTTAGATATAGGCCCCTGATGTTATTCCTGAAATAAATTAAAGAGTTCTCGCCTAACTAGAGGGAATATTATAAAACCTATATTAGAGAATATTATCCCAAACATCATTAAATCTTTCTTATTCCTAACTAGAGGTGACATTATAAAACCTATATTAGAGAAAAGTATCCCATCATCCACATCATTGAATCTTCTTTATTCCTACAGCAAAAACAATTGGCGAACACTCAGCTATGGAATTGGAAGCCGCCGCGGCGCTTCTTATGCTTCGCTACCAATATGAGTTGGTGGGTATTCAGGGCTTATGCAGCGGTTCGTCGCTTCCAAGGCCCCCAACTCCGCCACCTCCCCAGACCATGCTGCAACAACTCGCCAGTGTGGCTGCCGATAAATGCACGCCCAAGGATCAGGTGGTGCGCGGCACTGTCTCTGCATCCGCACAGCCGCTGAAGAAGCGAAGCGTGCCGCCGCATCTTCTGAGACGCTCCCTGACGCCCGCCAAGTCCCAAAACAGCCACAACATCTCTAGTGGCAGTGGTGGTATTCAGAAGACGAAGATGAAGACAGCCACGCCCAATCGCCAACGCAACTGTACGAAGGCGCTGCTTAAGTCCTGTCGCAATATGATACGAGAATTTCTGGACAATCAGGAACTGGTGTGAGGAAGAGATGAAAGACGACAATCGAAGTTATATGTGTACTTCATTTTGATTTCATTTATTTATTGCATAAATTTGTATATATATATTATTTTTTTTATACATATCATTATGTATTATTGAAAGTTTTCAATGGAAGAACAGGTATTGTGGCGACACTAAAGTGCTAATTATTAGCTATTGGCGGTGTTTAAACTTAGGGCGTACAAAAACAAACAAATTATGCTTACAAGTACTGCTAATTAAATGTTGTGTTTGTGTGTGTGTGTTGGTGTGTATGAATATGCAAGTATGTATGTGAGTCTACATAATAATAAAGTGCTTTAAAAACGTACAACACACAACAACACAAGAAATGTAATAATGCCTTGCCATTATGCTGATAATTGTTGCAGTTGCTTAGATCAAAAGGCTTGTTTAAGAACTAAAAATTTAGTGTTTAATGCTTAAATGAACACAATTCGCTGTGTTTGTTTACATGTTTTTTTTTTTTTATTATTATTATTAACATCTACATAATTGCCAACTTAATGTTTGATTTAAAAAATCTTAAGCTAGTTATTTGTATACAGACATGTTTGTAAACCTAAGATAAGAAAATCAAGTTGGAAATTCAAGTTCACATTTCAATTAAAAAAACTAAAAATGATTGGAAGCCAATTTGTGTAATGCCTTAATTGTATTATTTATAGATACATAGATGTATTTTTTTATGCATATAGCTAGGGCGCTCGATTGAAATTAAATTTTGAAAGCTCTCAGTTGGCGATACGAAGCCGATATAACTTGGCCAGCAAAGCTGTTGCACAGCTTTTTAATTGCTGTATTTTTTTTTTTTATATATTTTTCTCCTCTTTTTCTTAATGTTATTGTTGCTGTTGTTGCCGATTACAATTCTCGTTATCATAATTATTATTATTTTGCTTCATTATCACAATTTAATTAATTTGAAATTGAATTTAAGAGCTGAAAGTCTGCAACAACTTGCTTTTTCAATCCCTTCCTCCTTCTCCACTACTCTTCTTGTATATAAATCAACAATTTGTTTGTTTATTTTGTTTTTGTTTTTAATGCTGACTGCACAACAATTCAATTTTATCATATTTATATGTATGTATGTATGTATCGCATTTGTGTATAGATTTATGCAGGCTGTAGATTTCTTTTGTTTAATTTTGCATTTCTTCATAATTCGCTTATCAATTTTTTCCATAGACTGAAACCATTGTTGAGGCAACACTGTAAAGCTCAAAGGTGACAACACTTATAGACTAAGATTTAAACATATGATTGTGTGTGTGTGTGTGTGTGAGGGGCTGTGTAGGGGTTGCGTGGGTGTGTGTGTAGGTATGTTCCGTTCACTAAAACTTGATAATAAATGTAACTATTATGTATGTATTTATGTAATAATTAATTAATGTAGAAAAATTGGCACATAACGCTCTAAACTTCGAAGGCCCGCCGTTCAAACAAAAAACTACTTACATATGTAACAGAATATAAAAATGCTTCTATGTGTATGCGTGTTGTGTATTGTGTGTGTGTGTGTTTATTACACGTTCTGTGCTTATTTGGTTTGAAGTTACTTGATGTTGTTGGAAGCCTAACTTTCATTGTAAACGAAAATGTCATCTGTAGGAAACTTGCAGATTGGATGGAACTGTCATTCCAGTGTATGGAACTTTTTCCCTTTCCAGTGTTTCCTAAGCAACTTTCTACTGGGAAACAAGTCAGCTAATTCGGCAAGGAATAAAAGAGTTGGGATGGATGGGAATGTTATTCCAGTGAACACATTTTTTTTATATTTCACTTTCCAGGGTAATTTCCAGCGGAAATATGGAATTTTTCGCAATGGATATGAATGTCATTTTAGTGGATAGCATTTTTTTACTGTTCTAACTTTCCAGTTTTTCCAGTGGAAACATCGCATCTATCGCACTACTTTTATTTTAGCGAATATCATTTTTTAGTGAGCTCACTTTCCCGTGGATATATAACATTTATCGTATTACAAGAGCAAAAGAGAATTTTACGTTACAAATGGAATTTCGATGCTGGTGGATAGACATTTTTTTAATGGTTGCAATTTCCAGTAAATGCCTAGCTTTTGCAGTGGAAATATAGTGTGGACACAATTTCAGTAGTTGGTTATATTTTTAGCTATTTGCTTGGCTAATTTGAATTTAGTTCTACTTCTAAGCCATGTAGAGTTTATAAAAGCAAAGAAATCAAAGCAAATATTGTATTGCAGATTCCAAATCCTAATTTGAAAACTAACTGTGATCCTAACTTGCAACTAACTCTTTTCATTAACGGCCTGAATGTGGGCTTGAAGTCTGGTTTGGAATTGATTGCCCATCATTATCATCAAGTAACAACATCTGGTTAACTATAAGTTACATTTTCACTGAATCGCACAGAACCTGCCACTCTAGATATATCCATATATGTATATTGTATGTTTGTGTGTGTGCATGTTTTTATATTATAGATAACTTAATTGCAACTATTTGTTTAATATAAATATTTACTGTATAAAATATATGTGTACACATATGTATGTATATATGTATGTTTTTTCCATAATTCATATTGAACGTTTGATGGCAACGTCACATGCTTCGACACACACACACACAAACACCTACAGAAAGCTATGCGCGTGTGTGTGTGTGTGTGCGAGGGGCTATGTGTGTGTGGGTGTGTGTATATTTACAAAAGGCATTCTGCGTATGTGTGAGTGCTGTGGTCCCATTAAGAATTTGTTGCTTCTCTGCAGCCACGTGCGATTCTGCTCAGGTAATTTGTTTTTGTTGGATTCCGCGAGTCGATTCTCTAATTACAAATTTCTCATTTCATTTGCACGCTGATTGTCATCTTGGACGATGTGGACGCTTCACTGGTGCATGGAACGAAAACTGGACGCGTCCTCAGCTCCATTGCAATCGCTGTCCATGGGAACGGGCGCATTGCTCGACTGCTGCGGCGTCTCTGCGTCCATCGGCTTCGGCGAACGATGTCCCATTGGGGGCTGTTGTAAGTCCAATGCCTCATGCTTCGGCGAATGCTGTTCCGTGTTGTGCGTAGGCGTCGTAGCTGGGGAGCTGTGTTCGTTATAGCGTATCAGCTTGATGGTAGTCAGGCCATCCGCATTGCGTATCAGTCTGATGGAGAGAGAGAGAGAGAGAGAGAGAGGGGGGGAAATTATGATTAGTTGAATATACAAGGAAAACGAAATTAATATAGTATTCCCTATGTATATGTATATTCAGAGAGCAATATGGAGACTAGGAGCTAGTGTTTTGCTTTAAGTTTGCGATTCCGACATACAACTCCAAGATTTTTTATTCTTCTATAGATGCAGATGCCACTTTCTTAAATCGTAATCTCACTCCATAGATTATAGATAAATTGTAAACAGTTCTGATGATGCACAATATATATTTCTTTAGTTGCTAGTCTAGCCTGTTGTTTCACAACTTTTTCCCCCGCTCTCATCTTCTTAAATTGCATCTATTTTGTATAGAGTGGTGTTACTTACGGATAGCAGTCCTCGTTATTGCTCGGATTGCTGCTGTTTGTTAGCGTGGGCGTGCTGGCGTAGCTTTTGCGTTCGCTGCCGCTCACACTCAGATCGGTTGGCTTCAGGTCCTCGCCGGCACTATCGTGTCCGTTGCTGCTGCTGCCGGCGCCATTCTCCAGCTTCAGCGGATGGAATTGAAACTTATCGCTGGGCGCCGAGCCGTTGAGCATGCTGGCTGGCGAATTGGGCGATGGGGTTGCGGCCGCAACGGCGGCTGCATTTGCGGACAGATAATGGAACGCGCCATTGATGGCATGCATGAAGAGCGGCGACGTGGGTGGTGGTCCGTAGGCGGCAGCAGCAGCTGCTGCGACGGCGGCCACAGCGGGCAGGCTCATGGGATGATTGTCGTTGGGGTTGGGGCCAACACGTTGGCCATTGCGAGAGGCGGGTCGCTGTGGGGATTGCTGCAGGAGCTGCTGATGTTGCTGTTGCTGGTGTTGTTGCTGCTGCTGCTGTTGTTGCTGGGCGCTCGTGGGCAATGGCCAGTTGTTGGCATTTCCATTGCTGCCGTTCGTCTGTTGGTTACCCGCGGGCAACGCGGCGGGCGAACAAACGGCATTGGGCGCTGCTTGATTGTTGCCTCCAGCTGGCGTCGATTGCCGCAACAGCGATATATTCTTAATGTTCTTCAGCTCGGTCGGATTGCGCAAGAACTGATAGCAATGGCGCTCGCCCTGCACCTTCCGCAATATATTGACGCGATAATAGTAGCGTAGAGCCCGCGACATCTTGTCGTAGTTCATCGACAAATGATTCTTCTGTATGCCCCACAGTTTGGCCAAGCCGGCGGGATCGACGATCTTGAAGACACCAGTGTCGCGGCATTTCCAAGCAATGAGATCGCTGTACTTCTGATTGCGATCGTTTAGCAATTGCTGCAGAAAGTCCCACAATAGGCGGCCATCTGAAAATACAAATATAGGGATTATGATTAGGTGGATTATTATTAAAAATAGAACTTCAATTTACAATTATCTGTGTTTAGATAATATCATTTAAAGTCAAAGCAATCGAAGGACGACAAATGAATCGTTAATTCTACCCTGAATAGTGTCACCAGTTTCTTTGATTATTCTCTGAATTAAGAGCCCACATCGGGAAGTTAAAGGGTAACTTAAGTCAAGCCTTTGATATTTTTTTGTCGCAGCATATGAGGGACTTGTCTGATCTAGTTTGTATAAGTACTTTTCTCAATTTAGAACACACATCGGATAGTATCGGATAGAGGGGTTCAAGAGACTAACATCTCACATAATTCATCTTTAATATATTCCTATGCACTTAAAAGTTTTGAAAAACTCAGGTAATTAATCGGAACTAGCTCTTTTATGGCAACCACTCAATTTAATTAATTAATATTCATTCTCTACTCACTTGTATTGGGCTCCGAGTTCTCGGGAAAGAACTCACGCTTCACCTTGTACATGTAGCTGGGCGTGGTGGGGGCGGAAATCGAACCACCGCCGGCTGCAAGCGGTCCACCAGCATTGTCCAGCGTCAGCTTTTGTGGCTGCTGTTGTTGCTGTTGCTGTTGTTGTTGCTGCTGCTGTTGTTGTTGTTGCTGCTGGGACCATGAATTCACAAAGCTATTCGTCAGCTGTTGCGTCCAATTGGGTTTCATTTCCTTTAGTATGGGTGTGGTTGGGGGACTGGCCGTGCCGTAGGCCAGTTGGGCTGAGGGCAGCGCATTGTTGGCTTTGCTGCTGCTTCCCGGTTCCGAGTATTCTTCCTCCGAATCCGAATGATTGCTGCTGGTGCCACTAATGCCCTTCATCGGCATGCCAAAAGCATTGCCTTGGGCGGCCAGAACCGCTGCTGCCGTGGCAGCCGCTGTGGTGGACCCATTGCTTGCTGTGCTGCTGTTGCTGCTGCCACTGCCACTGCCGCTGCCAGAGACGCCTGCTGTGTTGCTGCCGCTGTTGTTGCTGCTTGAGGCCATGCCATTGGCATTCGCACTCGCTGTTGCTGCAGCCGTGGCGGCTGCGTTGGCACCTCCTCCGCCGCCTCCTCCATTCTGATATGGCCCCTGGGGCGGACTGCTGGCCTGTGAATCGACCGATGGTGGCGGACTCAGCGTCACCGAATTCGGCGCCATGAAATGGTGGCCCATGTGCTGCGCTGTGCTGTGAAACGGACTCTCGGGTGGCGCGTTAAGTGGTGGCCAGGTGGGCGTGGGCGGGTGACTGTGCGGTGAGAGCGGGTAGCGACTTGTGGGCGTCACAGGACTGTTGGGCAGATGCCATTGCATCATGTGCGACTCGATGATGAGCATCTGAAGCACATTGTGCAGCACATCGCCGGCGCCGGGACAGCGATGGCCGAAGTCGGCGCGTGTGAGGAGACACAGCGCCTTGCCATTCATCTGGAAGAGATCAAAGTCGAGCTTGGGAAGATCAAATTCGCGCACACAAAAGCGCAAAAATACGAGCACATCTTCACGGCTCCAGAGACGTGGATCGGATGGCAGCGAGGGGGGTAGCTGTGTCTTAAGCTCCGCCAACTGACTGGAGGGCGCCGGGGGGCAACGCCAGAGCATATCGCTCCAGATGCCGGGATTTAGCGGATTCAGTGATAACTGTACTGGAAGCATTTTCATTTTGGACATGCAACACACTCAGTGGTTAAGAACTATCCCAGTTCCTATTCTTGTTCTTCTAATTGTAGACAGTGCAGCCACAAAGATTGTTGTGCCAATCTGTAAGAAAGAGAGAGAGGGAATGGAATGTGAAATTAGTCAAAAATACACAAAAATAGTATTGCAAAGGAAAGGATTTGCCGTTAAAATCGACACACTTCCGCCATTAAATAGCTAAGCACAAACATCACCATACCCAGCGAATTGGACGATATGTAGGACAGAACGACTGGCCAGCCAGACGCACCGAACCGGACCGGGCCGGCACACTCAGACAGACAGCATTCGCATTCCAACAAAATCAGATTTCTTTATAATCGTCGGCGAGCGTCGCGAAATAAACAAATAATCTGAGACCGAGCGGGCCGAACCAAACGCATCCGAGCACAACTTGGCGCAAACTGCGCGCCTGTCTGCGATCGTCTTGCGAGAGACATAGGGAGCGACAGGGAGCGCAAGAGAGAGGAAGAGCACGCAAAAACGATGACTCAGTTAAAAAGTAGCGTGTGCGCGCTCTCAAAACACACCCCCGCAGCGCGTCGTCTGCGCTCAGCCAGCCATCGAGTGGAGCAAAAACAAAAACAAAATTAAAAGATCAAGCAGACGGTGGCAGGTCAGAGAATAAATTTTTCCATTTCTCGGTGAAGACTACTTAAGTATTTAAGTTCGCACGAATGATGCTGCAAAATCTTAGAAAGAGAACAAAATTAAAAATTCATCGTTTTTGAAAATACACATGAATGCATATGTTCTTAGAACGTGAAGAATCTTAAAGCCAATTAGAAAATCAATTAGAGTAGCACAAACAATTGAAACAAATTGGAAATTTGATCTGTTAAGTATGTACTTATTAAACATTTTTATTTTTTAACTGAATGTCTCTTTCCTTCTCCTGATTTACTGTCTATTTATTTTTTTCTTGACTTTCCTGACTACCTTTGACTGTAGGTAAATGAAAACAAAGATAATTGTGTTCTTTTTTGTTAAGAATTTTAGGAAAGTTTTGAATGGAGCCAACACTAAGTTCCGTTTGATAAAAGTATTATTGTTTTTTTTTTATTATTACGGTGTCTGCTAATAAAAGTTCATACAATTTTATCGTTTGATAAGATATGAGAAATCAACTAACCATGTTTTGCAGTTTATAAATAAAACACAACTGAATGACACAATTCGTTTATGTGGAAAGCTTTTAAATCATAAACTTTAGGATATGCGTATGTATCTATATCTCTTATCTTTTCACTTGTAATATAGATTTTTAAACACCTGTTAAGATTCTATAAAGATATTGATGTTTTTTTTAAACATTTTTTAAAATGTTTTTTAACCCTTCGATTTTCTGAAAGAAGAAACGCAGATTGTATAGCTTCTGAAGATTACAGTTCTATTTTCAATGATGGGTTTTTAATGTGCAATAATGGCTGGGTGGGGGCGCCATTATGAATGTGTTTTTCAGCTCATTTCCATTATTATTCCCATTGGGCACGTAAATTCGACTTTTTAATTGTAAAAATTTCTCAATATGTTAATTTCCATAAATGTCTGCGTCGGCGTCTCAGTCGCAGTACACTTTTTGCTTACGCTATTCCGGATGTATACAAAGTAAACACACACACACGCACACACAATCGGAGAGGCAGCAGAAATAACAACAACAACAACAAAATGCATATACAAATCGACATCACATGGGAAGCCCACCACATACAAACATACAAACACATACTAACATACATGTATACATAGATATGTACATACATACGATATATGTATCTTTGGCATGATCGTTCGTTGCAAGATTTCAACATAGGCAGGCAAACGAATGTATTGATGCCGCTGGGCAAAGCAAATCTTTAGTAGATAGAGGTTGGCGGGGGCGCAGCGTTTTAAGCGACAGCGTTGACGACGACGACGACGACAACGCTTTACGAAACTTAAAAGCCGTGCCCATTGCCCAGTCAGGCAGCTCGCCCTCCTTGCCTTTAAACTTTGCGTGCACAAGACGCTGGAGACGGCGACAGCAAACGGAAGTGCACATTCCAAACACAAAACCCGTTTGCAAAGCAACAACAACGAGGGAGAAAGACGTGGGGCTGCCTGATGCTGCTGACGATGATGATGCTGTTGCACCAGCAACAAATAAATCCGCCAGTGGGTAAAGAGAGCAGGCGAACAGCTGAAGAAGAAGCAGCACTAACACCAACAGTCAGGCACCCTGTATTGCTACACATTTGGCATGCCAGGCTCTCGCACACACACATGTATATACTCACACATGTTTGCATTTAAAATTTATCTGATCTTGCCCTCTCACAAGAAACTTCCTCATTCTCCGGGAAGCATTTCAACAAGTGAGAAGAAAGAGTGTGCGTGCATGTCTGTGTGTGTGTGTGTGCGTGTGTGTGTGGAAGCGAGCTAGCTAGAGCTGCTGCCTGGCAAGAGAGTGAACATAAATTACTGGGCTGCTATGGGATGGAGTTGAGTCTTGGCTGTGTGACGACGACGATGCAGAGGTAACAGAGCAAGAGCAGCGCAGTGCTGGTCCGTCCGTCGCCGCTGTTGTTGTATTCTTATTATACCCTACACCCAAAGGGTAAAAAACGTATATTAGTTTTAAGCCAACATATGCAACAGGCAATAAAATGCTAACACAAACTTCTAATATTTGAAATTTCGAAAACCCGTTACCTCTTTCCACCTCCAAATTCTCAAGACTGGGCACATAAAGCATAGTGATTAAGGTGCTTTATTGAGTATAGGGTATTTCACTGTCAGAGTTGCTGGACTGCAATGTTCTCTCTGGCTGTTGTTGTTGATGACGCTGGCGCACTATATGATATGAATATTTCATTATGTATGTACATACATAAATACACACGCACACACATACAATAAGATTGCTTTTACTTAGAGGGGGTCGCTATTTGTCTTGCCCGCTGGCTGCCCGGCTGACTGGCTGGCTGGCTTGCTTACTTGTTATAGTTGTTGGTTTTGTTGTTGTTGTTATTGCTTTAAGAGGTGCTGCTGCTGTTGATGCTGCCGCTTTTTGTTGATAATTATGAGAACTTGGGCACGCATACGCACCACACACAGCAACAACAACAACAGATATACAGGCGTACACAAATAAATACATACATGTATGTATGTACATACACACATACGTATACATACAGATGTACGTACAAACGATCCTACGTGTTATTTTGGTTACTACACACAACACATGGTTGAATGTTCTAAAATAAAAAATAAAAAATTATATATTATGCTACAATACGCACACATATACATACATACATACATGCATGCAGCACACAAGAAGAGAGACACATGTTCTTTTGTATGCTGCAACAAACAAATAAATAAACATTCAGGCAGTTGCTGTGGCACGTAGTTTAAATGACAAATGAATGTTCATCAGCAGCAGCAACAACAACAACTTGAAGCAAGCAAATGAGCAACAACGTGCATACGCGCAATAAGAAGAGATTCAGGGAATGTATTCTAAATCTCAGAGACAAGAGGCGGCAGGGGCAACAACAACGACAACAACAACAAGAACAACAACAACGACGAGGAACAGAGGAGGCGCGGCTTGGTTGGAAGTGTGCGCACAGGTAGTTTAGGTATGCGGATGGTGGCGAACCGGTTTCAACGGAAATTACAAACGAAAATTATAAAACGATCAGTTTAGAAAAAATGCCAACAGCCAACGGCCGACAAAAGCGCTGAAGAAGAAGAAGTAGCAGCAGTAGCAGCAGTAGAAGGAAGGGAGCGACAGCTACAACAACAATATTAACAATAAGAGAAATGTATGGATAAAATATTATAGGAAACTGCACAAACTGTGTGCTGCCAACTTATTGCCATTTAACAGCAACAATAATAACAACAACAGCAGCAGCAACAAAAGAAACATGCATACATACATCTGTACATACATACTATAAATGGTTATAGAAAGAATGTCGTTGCTTTCGCTGAAGAGGATATTTCTCTTCTTCTTTTATGTTTTTGTATTTTTTGGCCAAGTGTTATTGATGTTGAGTTTATTGCGTAGAGTATGTGGGTGTAACAACATTTTGAACGTGGGATCGGAAATGGCAAAAACATGGTTGGACCACTTTAGAGGTGGCAAGAAAGATTGTTAATTTGGAGATATTACTTACTATAGAAGGGTTTAACGGACATAATCATGCATCTAAAGTTGAATTGTTCTTGAGATAGGCTTATCATAAAGTTCGATTTTTGCAATCTTATAAAACAGAAAGAACATATCAGAGGTTATCTTCCATATAAATATGACTAAGGGACGACCCCGACCCGTTTTGAATATAATCCCATTAAACTGAGCTATTATATTCTCAATCAACAACTGACTAAGGGAAAATAAATACTTTTGAGGTTTTTCGTGTTCAGTCGAGAACATAAATCATTATCAATACACACTATTTTAAAACTGAACATGGCGTCTTCTACAGCCAGCCACAATAAATTCTTTAATTGACTGCCTTGGGTTCAAACTACAGCTCATATCGGTTCTTATAGTCTAGTCGTTCTTAGTATATAATTTTCCAAACAGTTAATAGGTTATTTCCGCATGTGCGCCTAAAACTATTCTCTCCAAATGACTGCAGCTATAAAGCCAACGGACTGCATCAAGTGCTGTCCAGCATGGAAACAACGCAGCAGCGGGAGAAAACAAGAAAATCTGATAAAATAAAAGCAGAAGCGACAGCAGCCAACGCGCATTAAGATTAACGGCTCAAATACGATGATGATGATGATGATCACGATGTGATGATGCTGATGAAGTGCGAGTGGGATGACCATATGACCCATATGCTTGGCCCGATATAATGTGGCTCTGCAGGTAGTTTAAGAGCTAAGGAAATGCGTAGTTGTTGTTGCTGTTGCCGTTGTTGTCGTTGTCGTTGTCAGTACCTGAAACTCTGGCGGCTGTTGCACTTACAATCATCTCCATAGAGCAGCAGCTTCTTGGAAAAAATAAGGGAACCCAACGACACAAAAAAGGGCAATGTCTTACCCTTAAA